CAAATTACCTTGCTTTAATTTAGCAATACTATATGTTTATCATTTGGAGTTTTTAAAATTCAGTTTAGAGAAACAGAAACCTCCTAAAACACACCATAAAAATCAACAAGGAGCTTATTTCTTTCCAAGGAAAGTCCAGAAATGGGCAGTAAAGGATAGTGTAGTCACAACAGGGGAACAAGCTTACAGTTTTCTTTGTATGTTTTGCTGGAGCACTGTACAACTCAGAGAAACAAGTTATTGAAGGATTATGGGAAGTTCATGTCAACACAGAAATTAGACCTTTTACAAATGTGAATACATGGAAGTTAGAATATTAGAGAAAAACAGTGGTATAAATGTGTGAGTTTAAACCTGTAAAGAAATTCAAGCAGCTGTGCATGTCTAGCCACCAAAGCGGAACCATGAAGAATGAGCTAATGGAGATATTTGTGGAAGATACAACCTGTGAGAGAACTGAAGTTAAGTGCTTGGTGATTGGCTCGGTGTTGATGTTCTTCAGTACAGCCAGTAGTCAGGAAGACAAGCCAAAGATTCCAAACTGATGAACATTTCTGGGTCTGTAGAAACAGATCAATCTGCTTGCTACTGACAAATCCTTCAGAAATTGCTTCTTCTTCATTTCTCCATCCCAAATTCTCATTCCTGTTCCCCTTTGTCCAGCTCTAGCATGTGTCATACAGCAAGTGCTCTGGAGAATGCATTTCTAAGCCTCATGTCACAAAAGCCAGCACAACCATCACGACCATTGCTTTTCATCCTCAGGGCTGCAAGGTCTCTTTCAAATTTGCAGTGTTGTCTCCAACTCAAAGCAGCAGCAAAGTACAAAAGGTTCAATTACCAAGTAGGATGAAATTATCCCTTTGCAATAACTTTGCACATTTTTTTTTCTTTCTGACAGGCAGAGTGGACAGAGAGAGAGAGAGAGAGAGAAAGGTCTTCCTTTGCTGTTGGTTCACCCTCCAATGGCTGCCATGGCCGGTGCACTGTGGCCAGCGCACTGCGCTGATCTGAAGGCAGGAGCCAGGTGCTTTTCCTGGTCTCCCATGGGGTGCAGGGCCCAGGGACTTGGGCCATCCTCCGTTGCACTCCCTGGCCACAGCAGAGAGCTGGCCTGGAAGAGGGGCAACCGGGACAGAATCCAGTGCCCCGACGGGGACTAGAACCCGGTGTGCCAGCGCCACAAGGCGGAGGATTAGCCTAGTGAGCCACAGCGCTGGCCATACATTTTTAATTTCTATCAACTACTTATTGACCAAGACAATTAGTTGTATACTATACACAAAAGTTGCTTAAGATACATATTTCTGTGGTAAAATCAATAACCTGAAAATTGATTAGATCTCTTAGTAAGGAAGAAGAGGGGAATGGATACTAGGTAGGCGATACCCAAAGTTTGCTACAGTAGGTCAGAAAGAAGATTCCAACAAGTACTAAAGACAGTATCACAATGGCCATATGCAATAATAGTAAAACTAATTTCAAATATACATACTTGCATACCAACTATACTTTACTTCAGCCATAGATCCACTTATATAACTGAAACAATAAAAATCATATACATCAAAATGGTGTAATACAGGTGGAAGGGTACTGGGAACAATTATCACCATATAGGTTTTCATTAGAAAACCATAAATTATGAGCTAGGGATTGACTTAAAAGATGAGACACTGATACAGCACTTCCATATTTGTAACATTTAGAGGAATTATCTTCTAGTATAAATTTCCTTATGTGTAGTAACAGAAGAGATGCAGCTGAAGACTTTCCCACATTGCTTACATTCATTGGGGATTTTTTCCAATTTGAACTTTCATTTATTTTTAAAGTATTATGGAAAAAATGAAAGGATTTTATATACTTTTTTAAAGATTATTTATTTATTTGACAGATAGAGTTACAGACAGTGAGAGGGAGAGACAGAGAGAAAGGTCTTCCTTCCGTTGGTTCACCCCCCAAATGGCCGCCATGGCTGGAGCTATGCTGATCCGAAGCCAGGAGCCAGGTGCTTCCTCAGTCTCCCACTCGAGCACAGGGCCCAAGCACTTGGGCCATCCTCCACTGCCCTCCCGGGCCACAGCAGAGAGCTGGACTGGAAGAGGAGCAGCCAGGACTAGAACCCGGTGCCCATATGGGGTTCTGGCGCCGCAGGCAGAGGATTAGCCAAGTGAGCCACGGCGCCAGCCCGGATTTTATATACTCTTTATAGCCCTATCTCCTAGTATGAATTTTCACTTGCTGAGTAAGGAAGGAACACTGGAAGGTTTTCCCACATTCTTTGAACTTAGGTTATTTCTCTTCAGTATGTGTTCTCACATGTGCATCAAAAAGTGAGGAATTATACTTACCCACATTTCTTATACTTATGGTTTCTCTCTTAAGTGAATTTTCATGTCTTTGAAATTATTAGAAGTTAAAATTTTCCAACACTCTTTTTATCAATAGACATTCTTCTGAGTGTTAAGTTCTCAAGCATTTTCTAAGGAATGAGGAACAAATGAAGGCACTCTTCCATTTTGTATATTCACTGTTTGTATTAGGGTTCTCCAGTGAAACGGTCATTATGATGAAGAGAGAGAAAAATAAAGCAGGGTGTTTACTAAGGAGATGACTCATGTTATTATATGACGAGTTCTACAAATCGCCATTTGAAAACAGGAGAACCGGTATATCTAATAGTATGTGTCAATCCACATCTGAAGGCCTAAGAACCTGGGAGACAGCTGCTGGTACAGGTCCCAGAGTATAAACGTGAGAGAACCTGGAGTTCTAACATTCAATGGCAAGAGATAGACGTCTCAGTTCCAGAACAGAGAGGTAATTTGCCTTTCCATTGACTTCTCTTTTTTTAAGATTTATTCATTTCATTTGAAAGGCAGAATTACAGAGAGGTAGAGGGAGAGAGAGAAAGAGAGGTCTTCCATCTACTGGTTCACTTCCCAAACACCAGAGCTGGGCCGATCTGAAGCCAGGAGCCAGGAGCTTTTTATGGGCCTCCCACACAGGTGCAGGGGCCTAAGGACTTGGGTCATCTTCTACTGCCTTCCCAGGTCATAGCAGAGAGCTGGATCAGAAGTGGAGCAGCTGGGTCTCGAACCGGCTCCCATATGTGATGCCGGCACTAAGGGCAGTGGCTCTACCCGCTAAACCACAGTGCCAGTCCTTCCACTGACTTTTTGTTATATCTGAGACCTCAACTTATTGGATGGTACCCAGGCACATTGTACGAGGGCAGATCTTACTCAGCTGTTAAAATGTCGGTCTCCTCTTGAAACACCCTCACAGACATCCAGAAATAATGCTTTTCCAGTTATGCAGGTGTTGAGTCCAGTTGACACCTAAAATTAACCATAACATGGCATTTCTCTCTGAAGTGCATTATCACAAGTATAGTAAAATATGAATAAATGGAGCATTTATTACATCATTTACAATCATAGATTCCCAAGTAGTTAATTATTAAAGGGATAAGAGAAACTATAAGTATTAACACACTCCTCACAAGCAAATGGCTGCTTTCTGTTTTTTTCCTCTCTTGTAGATTAAACTTTGAAGAGTAAGAGAAGGCTTTCTCACATTCCTTAGATTCATAAGACCTCTCTCCGATCTGAGATAGTACACATAATGTAAGGGAGGGTAAATATATAAGGACTTCCTCATATTATTTTATATTCATGGATGTACTTCCAATATGAGTTCTCACATGTGCCCTAAAAATGAAGGGTAATGAAGGTTTCCACTATGTTTTACATTCACAGGCTCTTTCTACAGTAAGAATTTTCATATTTTCTAACAGATCAAATAAAATGGAAAGCTTTTTCACATTCGTTACCTCCACTGTGAGTTCTTACATGGACATCGATGGATAAAGAAGGAATAAAGGCTTTCCTATATTTGTTCTATATTTATAATACTCCTTTTCAATGTAATTTTTTCAAGTCCTAAGATAAAAAGGACATGTGAAGGGTTCCCTAAATTCCCATTGATTGTACCCAGTTTGAATGAGCCCTTACCTTAACAAGTGAATAGTCAATGAAATCTTTCTCATATCCACTGAATTCATATGATTTCTCTACAGTATGAGTTCTCTAATGTACATTTATATTTGAAGTCTGGCAGGAGGCTTTTTCATTTTAAGGGCCTTAATTTTATTTCTCTGTTTGAAATGTCTTCTAAACAGTAGATACCCAAGTCTTTTTGAGAGATTTTCCAATTTGATTATATTCATAGAGATTCTTTACCATATGAATTCTCAAACATTTTTATTGGGTCTTGCAATGATTTTCTGTGCTAGTGCAAAAAGGATGAGGGATACATCATTGGAAGTTTTGTTACATGGTAGGTAAAGTAGTTTAAGGTGAACTGTGAAAAGGAAAGTCCATGTATCAGTATTCTTAGAAGAAATAACTCTAAAAATGTTATAGCTAAAGGTCAACTAAGGATATAAAATGATATACCAAAAAAACCACAATTTAACCAAAAGAAAAGAGACAATAAGAAATGAAGGAATGGAAAACAGCGTCCATGAACAAAAAAGGAATATATACAAGCATATAAATAATTACATTACATAAAATAGAATACATTATTAAATCAGGAATAATATTTTATAAAAAAGCAAAACTGAACTCTATGTGATTTATGAAAGATGTGCATTAGATATAAACACAGGGTGAAATAAAAGGATGGGAAAGTATATATCATGTAAACCCTAAGCATTAGAAATACAGTGTAATTATATTAATTTCAGAAAAACAGAAACTAGAGAATTAAGGGGACAGTTCATAATTATGAGTGACAATTCATGAAGAAGATAAAAAAATCCCACTAATGTGTGCATCTAATAACATAGCTTCAAAATATATGAGTTTATAAAAACCTAGAGCCAAAAGCAGATATAAACACACAATACAAGTTGAATAATGTAACATTTTTCTCTTAATAAGTTATAGAACATGTAGGGAGAAGTTCAGAATAAAGAAGATCTACACATCATCAATAAATTTGGTTTAATTGATATTTACAGAACACTACACTCAACAACTGTAGAATATACATTTCTTTGAAGTGCATATGGGAAATTCACCAAGATAACTCACATGTTGTATAATTTTTAAAAAGTGACTCATAATATATATTACAAAGGATTTAAATCACACAAAGTATGTTCTCAGAGCAAAACAGAACTATTTCGCATAACAAAAATGATATTCTTAGTAGGAGATTAAGCAACATACTTCTGAAAGTTAACCCATGGATCAAAGAGAATACAACTGGGAAATTACAGATAAATTAAAAGTGAGTGGTAACTTAAAACACAGCAAATCAAAATTTATGAAATGCTACTTGTGAAGTATACAGACAGAAATATATATAGCTTTAGTTTATATTTTTACATATTTTAATTTACACTAGAGGAGAAAGGCTTAGAACCAATGATCTAAGCTTCCAGAGAAGCTACAGAAAGAAAACTAAATTCAAAGTAACATATAAACATATATCAAAATGGAAGAGTAGAAATCAGTGAAACAGAAAACATAAATTAATAGAAAAAATAGCAAAGCCAATGGTTAGTTCTACAAGATTAATAACATTGATGCACTCACAACAACACTGAAAAAGATAAAAGGAGTGAAAACAAATGATCAACATCCAGAATGAAAGTGAGATATAATTACAGTTTTTAAATATAGTGTAAAGATGAGAAAGGAATATTATCAATAACTTCCTGCTAATAAATTCAACATCTCAGATAAAATGAACAATTTAAAAAAAATTCAAGATGCCAACTAATACAAGAGGAAACAGAAAAGTCAGAATTACAATCAATGTATTTAAGACATTGAGTTTTCGATTTTAACACTTCCCACACACACACAAAAAATGTTACCTGATAGCTTATGTGGTAAATTTGATCAAACAAATAATGAAGACACCGTAATTATCTTATACAAATTCATAACATAGAAGAAGAAACAATTAACTCATTTTATGAGACCAGAATAATGCTTAAAACTCAAATTTGATAAGGGTATTAAAGAGAAATAACTGTCAACCAATATCCTTCCTGAACATAGTTGCAAAAACTTTCAACAAAATTAGCACTCTAAATCTAATAGCTAATACTTTTCATACCACTGTATGTCACCTGGAAGAAAACCATGTAACCCATTTGCCTGGTCAGTCATGGTCATTGTTTCATTCCCAGTGTGGACTCCAGCTCATCAGATCTGTTCAGATATCTTTGTATTTTTCCACTATTACTCTTGCTATCCCATATTCAGAATGGCAAGTGATTTGTTTCAGATTTCACTGCTCAAACTCCACCTGTGAATGCCACCTCTACCACAGTGATGGCCGCTTGAACTTGCAAGTTGGAAACAACCATAAACCAGAACAAAGATGAGGCAAGTGTCTCAGATGCAAAATTTAAGGGATCTCCCAAAATCTTCATAGTAAAAATAAATACTATTTAATATAATATTCTTCAAAATCAAATTTAACATAAAAATTCATGAGACAAAAATATAAAAATTTTAAATAAATACAGGAACCACTTCACATTTGTACACATTGGCCTCGTTAACCTCACACTAATTCCAACCCTGTCAGATACCATTTTCAGTATTATTGTTTCCTTATTCAATTCAAGGGGGAGTTTACAAATGACCAAGTCTACTACCTTACAGATTCCTTTCTGGACTATTCCCCTTCAAGGCCAAAAGGGTCATGAAAATTCTATATATGATAATGTTGGAGTTACTAAGTTTACAAAAAGAAAAATTCCTTTAGTTTGCATATATGATATCTTCTATACTATTTTGCTAATGATAACCTAATTATACACATTCAACCAATAAAGGAAAATATGCTAATGTGGAAAAGTTATGGAAAAGCAATGATATTCTGTGTATACTCTGCATACACTGCTTCTCCACCATCTTCCAAAGCCACCCCCAACACACAGACACATACACGTACATTCACATTCTCCGGGTATAGCTGTGGAGTTCTAAAATTGTTTGAAGCATCACATTCACATATCATGACATATTTTTTGAGACTATGTGATAACTGGAATTAATATTCTTTTCAAGGAATTCCAGGTCAATCTAAGACAGACAAAAAATATTAGCCCTTTAGGGATGCCTTTAGCTTCTATACTTTATCAATAAAATATTTGTAAAGCAAGATAAGAAAGGAGTACTACTGACACATTGTAGTCTCTGGGCCTATTTCAGAGTGTACATTTCTGTATATGAATTAATCTAAATATCATTTGGAAAAGTTAAGAGAATGACTAAATCTAAAAGCACTAGAAATGAGCATCCTTATCTCATTTGACATTAAAATTAATATTAATTGGAAAATAACAATCAATGCCTCAAGAGCCAGGGACTACCCTTGAGGATTAGACACTAGTATAAATAGACTGAAGGGAGTATCTCCTGCTTTCTAGTCCATTAACAAATGTACTGGAGACAAATGCCTGGTTGTTCAAAGTAATTCAGCTACCATCTATCTGTTGCCCTGATTGTGCAGTAAAGCTTCTTTAATTTTTGTGGACAAATAAACATCTAAGAATTATGAAAAGGAAGTTAACTGTGACTCCCTTAACTTCAAATCACTGGTGTTGGTGAATACTGATATATACAAATATTTATTTACCTCCCTTTATCCTGGGGAAGGCATGTATCTCCTATACCCCTTGCAATCATAGAAAACAAATGCTAGCAGTCATAATCAAACATCTCCTACTTTCTGGCCCCATTTTATTGCTGATATAAGCCACCAGAATTTATTATAACTAGCAACGGCATGAGTTAGTTTATATTAATAAAAGGAATTTTAGTTCTTGAAATATGTGTGGGAGTTTTCCTATTTAGAGGAAGCTGGTCTTTAGTGAAAGAAGGAAAGTGGCAGGCAGAAGAAAGTAAATCACATAAAGGATAGATAAAATGGCTTTTAAAGTCCTTGTAATTGCTTGTCTTAAAGTCTTCCCCGTCAATCAGTTTTATTTCTAAACATATCCTAAATTACATTATAGGGGTTGACACTGTAGTTTAGTAGGCTAAGCCTCTGCCTATGGCACCGGCATCCCATATGGGTGCCAGTTCTAGTCTCAGCTGCTCCTCTTCTGATACAGCTCTCTGATAACAGCCTTGGAATGCAGTAGAAGATGGACCAAGTGTTTGGGCCCCTACCCCTGCGTGGGAGACCTGGAAACTCCTGATTCCTGGCTTCAGACACACCCAGCTCCAGCCATTGTGGCCAGGTGGGGAGTGAACCAGTACATGGAAAATCTTTCTTTTCTCTTTCTCCCTGTCTGTAACTCTACCTCTCAAACAAATGAAATAAAAATCTTTTAAAACATTACATTTTAAGTCCCAATATCCTGTCAATGAATTCTGTTTCTTTTTCTTGAACTAGTATAACTGGATTTCTGTTGCTTGCAACCAAAAGAATTTGGACTAACACAGAAGTTGTCTGCATTACATTTTCTGTTACCATAAAAGGCATTTCCAAATGGGATGTTTAAATCAGTCCATGAAAATGTGTGAAAGGATATATGATTTCAAAGAGGGTTTTCAAAGTTGAAAGCAGTTGAAACAATTTGAGGAAAAAGCTTTGGAGACATTAGTAGAGCTGGACAAAGTTCCTTCAAGAAGCATGCTCAGGAATATATTTAAGCTTCATTATTTGTGTCTGCCAAAATTATGGATGTCTGCCTTTCTGGGACAGACAAGATTTTAAAATAATCGTCAGAAATTTCCAACCAGAAAGAGACAAAATTTGGCCAAAAAAAGTCATATGTTGGGGCTGGCACTGTGGTGTAGAGGGTAAAACTGCTGCCTGCAGTGACGGCATCCCATATGGGCGCTGGTTTGAGTCCTAGCTGCTCCACTTCTGATCCAGCCTGGGAAAGCAGTGGAAGATGAACTAAGTCATTGGGCTCCTGCACCCACATGAGAGACCTGGAAGAAGCTCCTGGCTCCTGGTTTCAGATTGGTCCAGTTCTGGCCATTGTGGCCACTTGGGGAGTGAACCAGTGGATGGAAGACCTCTACCCCTCTCTCTTTCTCTCTCTCTCTGCCTCTCCTTCTCTCTGTGTAACTCTGACTTTCAAATAAATAAATCTTTTTTAAAAAGTCATATGTCTTTTTATTTCATGTCAAACTTAATGTCCAAACAATGTTGGAGTATTTATAGAACTACTCGTTTGGGCATTTTCAATTATTTAAATATCACTGGTTGAAGTGATATTTTTTTGAGAGGCAGATACATAATACACACACACAAAGGGACAGAGAAAGTGAGTGAGCTTCCATGCACTGATTCCCTCCCCAAATGCTTACAACAAGAGAGCTGAAGCCAGGAATCAGGAGCTCAATTCATGGCTCCCACATGGATAACGGGAGCACAATTAATTGAACCATAACTAACACCTCCCCATTTAGAAGGAAGGCTGGAGTTACCAACTGGTGCTGGGGCTCAAAGCCAGGTACTCTGACGTGGATTATGGTCATCCTAACTGATACTTTAACTTCCAGGACAAATGCCTGCCCCTAAGCATTCCTGGGTTTTGACCTGTTCACCCACATTGCAGTGATTCATGACACAAGAGGGTTACCCCCGCATGTGGAATTTCCAGGCGATTGCCCCAGTACTGGAGACAACATTCTGATTAATTTTTTTACATTTCCCTGCATAAAGGGCATCAGTTTTTCCTCAAATTTCTGGATATAAAGTATTGCAAACAAGGCAGTCCCTCAGCTAAATTTCCATTAAACACCACCAAACTGAACTCTCAGTGAATGCTATTTTGCTTTGTTTGGGAAAAAAAGACACAAGTTTCTCCCTATATAGATTGGCAATACATACACATGAAAGCTATTTCCTATTTTAGTCCCTATACTCTGCTGGCTTTACAGGAGTAGGCACTGGATTATCTTCATGTCTGCTTTTTTTTGTGAAGAACATGGAGTTGATCTAGAATTTATGAGATCCATTAGTGGATTATTCCATGAAAACTCAACAACACTCCATCACGATTTCATAACATCTGGAGATACCACCATGGCAAAACTTACAACTTTTAAGAAGATATTTTTTCAGAAATACAACCATGAGTCATAGTGGGGTTATTTCACATATATTCATAGAGCAGTACTGGCTACATTGTTGTTAGGTTTGAACAGGATTTGGCTCCACAAACTCATGTAGATGTTTAAACCTCAAAGTTGATAGTTAATGGATTACTGTTAATGGTTAATGGATCAAGAGTGGAGACCATCTAATTCTGGTGTATGGAGGTGCTTCTTTTTTTTAATTTTTTTTTTACAGGGCAGAGTGGATAGTCAGAGGGAGAGACAGAGAGAAAGGTCCTCCTTTTGCCATTGGTTCACCCTCCAATGGCCACCACGGCTGGCGCACTGCAGCCGGCACACCGCGCTGATCCGAAGGCAGGAGCCAGGCGCTTATCCTGGTCTCCCATGGGGTGCAGGGCCCAAGCACTTGGGCCATCCTCCACTGCACTCCCCGGCCACAGCAGAGAGCTGGCCTGGAAGAGAGGCAACCGGGACAGAATCTGGCACCCCAACCGGGACTAGAACCCGGGGTGCCAACGCCGCAAGGTGGAGGATTAGCCTAGTGAGCCGCGGCACCGGCCTATGGAGGTGGTTCTAATAGGAGGTCTTTAGGTCCCTGAGTGCCTACCCTCAGAAGGGAGTGTGAGACAGTTGGATATATAAGCTGGCCATGCTCTCCTCTTTCTCTCTGGCCTACCATGAGATCATTCTTCTGCCATTCTCTGGCCCCTTCAGATGTTTGAACCAATGGAGTTGCTCAGTCTTAGACTCTGAATCCCTAAAACTGTTAAACTGAAATAAACCATCCTTCCTCCTATGTAGGTTCTCTTAGGTATTTTAGTTAAAGTATCAAAAAGCTGACCAATATAACTGTCAAGAATAATTTCCATGTTTGTGCTAGCAGTACTAGACTAGAAGTAGCATCATGATGTTTGCAACAGTGGTCTGGAAGACAGAAAAGAGATACTACAGCCTACTTTCATTATATGAAAAACAGGGCAGAGGGAGATTCTCAATTTTTTCCCTTATTTACATGTTTGTGGAAAGAATTCAGGTTCTCTCCACTTTACAGTTACCGGAATAAGGCACTGTCCACCTTAATAATCCCGTTACACAACCATAAATACATAAATATCCCAAACTTGGTTTGGGGAGAATACAGGCAAGCAAGAGAAATAAAGAAAAAAGGTTCAGTGCCTTAGGTTTATGGTATAAAAGATAAGTTGGGACTAAAAGAAATCTCAAAGGAAATCAAAAAGGTTTGGAGAATAAAATAGGAGGTAAAATGCATGGTTGTGTTAGTACTAATGGAAGAGTACCCTGGTAGCTTCCAAGAAAGTTTATTTATTATTCTTAACTCATTCATTAATAAACATTGACTTTGGGATTGGCGCTGTAGTATAGCAGGTAAAGCTGCCAACTGCAATGTTGGCATGCCTTATGGGCACGAGTTTACAGCCTACCTGCTCCACTTCTGATCCAGATCTCTGCTAATGTGCTTGGGAAAGCAGCAGAGGGTGGTCCAAGTGCTTGGAACCCTGCCACCCACATGGGAGACCTGGAAGAAGCCCTTTGCTCCTGGCTTCAGACTGATCCGATCAGTGGATGGAAAATCTCTCTCTCTATCCCTCTCTCTGTAAACTCTGCCTTACAAATAAATAAATCTTTTAAAAATAAACACTGACTTGTCACTTATAGTCAAGACTACTCAAGATAGTCTTGACTTGCTGTGTCACAGGATATAATTTGTTTCTGATCCTTCCACCAGTTATATTTTACCAAAATATTTACGTTAGTTAGCTGCTTAGGAAGGTTTTCAGGATTTATTTTACTAAGTACAATTTTTGATCCTGCTACCTCCCTGCCTGGAAAGCAGGTATTCTGAATCACTGCATAAACATCACAGTCCTCTTTCTTGGGACACTATTAATAAAGGTTTTAAAGTACGCCTGATGGGGCCAGCGCTGTGGTACAGTAAGTTAATCCTTCACCTGCAGCACTGGCATCCCATATGGGCATGGGTTCTAGTTCCGGCTGCTCCTCTTCCAGTCTAGCTCTCTGCTGTGGCTCGGGAGGGCAGTGGAGGATGGCCCAACTTCTTGAGCCCCTGCACCCACATGGGAGAACTGGAAGAAGCTCCTGGCTTCGGATCAGCGCAGCTCCAGCTGTTGCAGCCATTTGGAGGGTGAACCAACGGAAGGAAGACCTTTCTCTCTGTCTCTCCCTCTCATAACTCTACCTCTCAAATAAATAAATAAATCTCAAAAAAAAAATAAAGTATGCCTGGCATTTATTGGTTCGCTTTCTTCATTTTATTGTCCAAAACTCAATTTTCGGGGATTCTACCAGTCAGGAATATTCCTTTGAAAGGTCAGTAAGTTTTGTATGTTTGTCACTCTCCCTTGATAATGTCTAAGGGAAAGCAAAGCTACTTTTCTGAGAAGCATGTCACACATCTACAATAGCCTGAGACCTAGTCAGGCAACTGTGTACACAAACCTCACCTGTGAGAAGGAGATATCTGGTCAGTGTGGAACGTGTTTGTCCGTACTCAACAGAACACACAACTACAGCTGCTGATCTACATCACACAACAGAAAGCATGCGAGAAAGCAGTATAAGATTGCTATAATAGCTCAATGATGCTAACGGAAATTCAGGCGCTTTCCATTTTATCATACTTGGTGTTAGGGCTTTGTCTTGTGATATTCATTTCATGGTTATAAGTTGGCTGCTTCATCTCCTTTTACTTCCTATTAGCTTGCCAGTGAAGAAAAAGGAAGAAGGGCAAAGAGCCTGAAGAACATCCACCTCACACTAGGCCTTTGGAGAATCTCTTTCTTGAGCCCTGTGCTGTGGGAGGGAGGCTGGGGTGGGAAGTATCACCATGTTATGTACATAGGAACTACATGAAATTTGTTTACCTTATATAAATTTTTTAAAACCCATATTATTTATTCCCTTTAGTATCTGGTATGAGTAAAATGATTAATAAACCTTTAAAACTGAAAAAGTCCTGTCCCCTAATTATATTTTTGTATCACTGACAATAATGGAGTCATATGACAATCCTACCTGAAGGGATAATGGAAATATGAATATTTTGCCTAGAGTAGGAGAAGCTAAAGAAAAAATGGGGCACAGAAATGGCTTTAGCAGCCACTTGTTTTACTTTTCTATTGCTGCTGTAACAAATTACTACAAAATTAATGTTAAAAAATAATGTACTATCCTACAGATCCAGATCCGGAGGTCAGCAGTCTGAGATGTGTTACGGATGGGCGCTCCTTGCAGGTCGCTCCACAGGGGAATCCACAGACTCACCTTATCCGGCTTCTAGAGGCTGCCTGTATCTGCCCCACACCCATCTTCAGTGTCAGTAATGAACAGTGGAGCCTTTGTCACATCACACCATACTGATACCCTTTCTCTGCCTTCTTTATTAAGAGTTCCTGGGATTACACTGGGTCCAACTGGATAATCTACAATATTCTCCTTATTTTGTGGAAAGCTGGTTATTAATCTTGACTGCACAGCAACTTTAATTCCCTTCTGACACACACATATTTACAGGTTCTGGGGATTAGGACAAGGACATCTTTGGGAGGTCACTAATTCAGAATACATCATCTGGCTTTCAAAGATTCACATTCATTCCAGGTAAAAATCCATTCACCCATTCCAATATTCCCAAAGATATCTCATTACAGCACCAACACAAAGCCCAAAATGTCATCTAAGTCTCATCAGTTCAAAAATCATCATCTAAAGTGTATAAATCAGGTATGGGTAAGACTCTAGACATCCTGCACATAATTTCTCTCTATCTCTGGATCTGGGAAACTAAGTAAGTCACCTGTCACCACCACCCTCATAACATACAATGTTAAGACAAGCATGGGACAACAGTTTTGGACACCAGCTCAAAAATGGCTACAAATGAAAAGTAAAAAAGTGATCACCTGTCTGAGAAAGGTAGCAAACCATCTAGGAAAACCCAAGACTTTCAAGACTTGAGACTGATCCTCTGTGGGCTGGGCTTCAGGCTCCATTCTTTAAACTATTCTTCCCTTCTCATTAGAGGGCGTACACGTTCTCAAGGAAGTCGTTGTCTAAGTCTGTTTCTTCCTTATAAAATCTGGATGCACAAAATCCTTCTTTAAATTTTCCCTCTCTATCCCTTTCAAAGCTGTTAGCATTTTTGCTGATAAAACATTCACGAACACCTTATGAATCTCCTGCATATGTCGCAGGGATTAAGTTCATTAGATAAGAAATTTATTAGTAGTTCTTTCCTGAATAATTCCCTGTATATGCTGCTGAGGTGGCTGAAGATGTCCATGAGTCAGAGGCCTAGACTCTTCAAAAAGCTTTCTGTAAGTTCGACTACTCTAAAATGTTGTCCTGCTATAATCCTGGCTTTCTCTCCAGAACATGTTCTCCTGACAGTGGATCTCCTAATTTTAACATCTTTTTGCAATCTGAATAGACTGACAATTACCCCAATCATCAAATCTTAGTTCCCTTGTGCTTAAAATTTCTCCCTTCAACCTAATTCCTCTATTTTCCCTCTCACATTGTACCACAGGCAGCAAGCAGAAGACAGACAGCACTTTCAGTCCTTTGCCCAGAAATATTTTCGGCTAAAAATCCAAATAAATTGCTCACAAGTTCTTCCCACGTAGCTGCACAGTTCAGCTAAGTTTTAAAGAGCTGTTTAAAAGTATTCGCTAAGCCTCCAAGTAGCTTTAATATTTATAATTTTACCACAGTCTGCTTAAAATGATTTAAGTATTCTCTAATGGAGTATTTGTCCGCCAAGCTCCTCACTCGTTCTGGGCCCTCACTATATTTATATCAATACTATATTTGTGTTTATACTAACAGTCTTCCAAAGCAATCTAGGATTTTTTCTATCATATTTCTCAAAATTCTTCCTGTCTATCCACTGCCCCATTCAAAAGCCACCTGTACATTTTTTATGTATTTGTTACAGCAGCACCCATTTCTAGGTACCAAAATTTATCAGCCAGGGTTCAAATGGAGAAACAAAGGCAACAGAAGATAGATATGAAGAGTTTTATTGCAAAAAGTGACTTATTTGTGGGAACTGGCAAGACAGGACTAAAATCTGTGTGGCGGGCTTGAAGGGAGGGCAAGCTGCGGCTCCAGGCACAGTTACAGCTGCTGTCCTATGTAGAATGACTTCTTCCTCTCAGGGAAGGCTCAATTCTTCTTTCCAGGCCTTTCGACTCATTGAATCAGGCCCATTCAATTGCCTAAGATAATTCTCCTATTTTAAATTCATCTGATTAGCAATCTTAATTCCACTCCATTCTTAATTCTCCCCTGCAATATAATATAACATGTTCACAGTTTCCTTAGAGGGACATTATTTTGCTCACTACACCATTCTATCCCATCTGCAAGGCTGAAAGGCTCCTGGAGCTAAATAGAGGATTCCTGACAACAGATAAAACTATTTCTCCAAATCACTCATCTCCTTCACCAACATATCCTTCAATACATTTTTATTTGGTTAACTATTATTAATTTTAAAATGTATTTTTAAAAATTCCTTACCAACCAAAACAGTGGCATTACTCAAAGGCCAGTAGACTCTGGCATGCTGTACCACCAGAAGCTCCTCCAAGCCCAGAATTTGGAGTACACTTGAGAATTTCTCTGTCACTGCAAGAGGCAGTTGCAGGAAATGCATTACTTGGTCCCTAAGGCTACTGGCCTAAAAGAAACACCTTCCACACAATCACGGTGGGTATCATTAAACACGTCTAGTGCCTTACTAGGACCCTAACTTGAGTTAGACATAGGGAAGAACCCATAAATCTTTCTACATTAATTTAGATGACAGGGAACACATGATGCAGCTATATCTTCACACGATAACATATTTGTTAAGAGTGAAAGTTTAATGATTTGTGATTTTGAATTAAATACCTTGAAATTATCAATTCTGCTGCGTATTCAAAAACCAAAAGAGTAGCTTGGAAGGTGGATGTGATTACACTCTGGGTCTACACCACACAGAAATGGGGATACTGGGAAGTCAGGACAGTGTAAATAATAGAAACTAAAACAATTGCGAAAGTTAAAAAATAACCTATGATAAAAAGGAATCATATATTCTCACATAGTTTCATATAGTGTGAAATGTACTTTTAAAATTACAATTATATCAGGGGTGTTAACTGTCATCCTGTAAGAATGAGTACCAAAAGTTCAATAATATGCAAGTTTTGATATAAATTAGTTACTAGTAATACAATAATTGGAAAATGATTACAATGACGACAACGGTACCAAGAAAACAACAATATTACCAGGGAAATTAGAAAATATAAAAAGAAACGCAGTTGAAGATTGTAGGGTTAAAAAAAAAAAAGGGAAAGAGAAAAGTGAAAAGCTAAGGAAACAAACTAACATGACCAGAGGAGAAGGTTCGGAGGTTTAAATTGATCCAGAAGGTTCCAACACGCTCTGACTTCTTTTGAGTTCTGGCCTGGAATATGGGGGAAACTAGGGTTGGAAAATCTGAACAAAACTAATCTCAGAGTCCCCATCAGACACACGTAACACAGGGTGCCAACATGCATCAATACCATGTAACTTCAAGTCCAAAGAGACTTGCAAACCTAATCAGCAGGAGTTCGTAGGTTAATCAAATACTTAACTGAATGGGAAGCTGTTCCGAATGCTGAGACGTTCTTCCACGTCGCTCCCAGTGAGCTGCGGAGGGAAGTTGGGGCTAACGGGCTTCATGAACTTGAACTCCCCGGTCCCAGCGTCGCCCGTCAGGCGCACCTCGTACTGGTAGCTGTGCGACAGCGTCCCGCCGCCGCTCACGTCCAGCAGCGGCCCCGGGAAGCGGCCCTCAGCACCCGCGCCGCCGCCGCCGCCGCCAACCGCACACCCCGCCCCAACACCGACACCGCCCGCGCCCGCGCCCGCGCCCGCGCCGCACAGCCGCGCCGCCACCAGCGCCAGCACACTCAGCACCAAGAGCGACGACACCGCCGCCAGCGCCACCACCAGCTGCACCGTGAGCGAGTCGGGCCGCGCCGCCTCGGCCGCCGCCGCCGCCTCGGGCAGCGCCAGGTAGGGCTGCGAGAAGCCGTCCACCAGCAGCACGTGCAGCGTGACGCTGGCCGACAGCGGCGGCTCGCCGTGGTCGCGCACCAGCACCAGCAGCCGCTGCCTGGGCGCGTCGCGCTCGCTCAGCGGCCGCGCCGTGCGCACCTCGCCGCTGTGCGCCCACACGCCGAACAGCCCGGGCTCCGTGGCCTTGAGCAGCTCGAACGACAGCCAGGCGTTCTGGCCCGCGTCGCCGTCCACCGCCACCACCTTGGTCACCAGGTAGCCCGCGTCGGCCGCGCGCGGCACCAGCTCGGGGCAGGCGGCCGAGCCGTTGGCCGGCGGGTACAGCACGGCCGGCGCGTGGTCGTTGGCGTCCAGCAGCTGCACGCGCACGCGCGCCTCGCTGCTCAGCGCCGGGGAGCCGCGGTCGGCGGCGCGCACGCCGAACTCGAAGGCGCGCAGGGCCTCGTAGTCGAGCGCGCGCAGCGCGTACAGCTGCCCGCTGTCCGCGTGCACCGACACGAGCGCCGCCACGTCGGGCTGCTGTGGCGGCGGCAGCAGCGAGTAGGTCACCTGCGCGTTGGCGCCCGCGTCCCTGTCGCTGGCGCTCACGGAGCCGATGAGCAGCCCGGGGCTGTTGTTCTCGCGCACCAGCAGGGTGTAGGCGGCCTGGCTGAAGGCCGGGGCGTTGTCGTTCACGTCGGACACCTGCACCGCGACGTGGTGCCGGGTGGTCAGCCTGGGCGTGCCCAGGTCGGACACGGTGATGGTGATGTTGTACTCGGCTCTGGTCTCCCTGTCCAGCGCCCCATCGGTTACCAGCCAGTACAAATTCTCCACGGAAGATTTCAGTGTAAATGGAACACCGTCTTGGATGGAGCAAACCATCCTTCCATTTTCCCCAGAGTCTCGGTCTCGAATCCTAAACAGAGCTACTTCCGTGTCGGGAGAATTTTCGGGAATGGGGCTGGTAAGTGATGAAATAGTCAGTTCTGGAGGATTATCGTTAACATCCAGCACCTTAATGGAGACAGAGCATTTTCCAGAAAGCCCCCCGCCATCAGTAGCCTCTATATCTAGCTCGTAGGAAGACACTGACTCAAAATCCAGCTTTTTGATGAGTCGAACTTCTCCGGAAAGGCTGCTTAGCGCAAACGTTTTGCTTATTTCCTGAGAACTATAAATAAGGGAGTAGGAAATCTCCCCATTCGTGCCGGCGTCTAAGTCCCGAGCGGAGACCCTGACAACCAGCGAGCCCACCGGGCTGTTCTCCGGGAGCTGCGCCTCGTAGAGCGGCTGCACAAATGCGGGGGCGTTGTCGTTGGCGTCCAGCACCAGGACGCGGATCCGCGCGGTGCCCGAGCGGGGCGGGACGCCGCCATCCAGCGCCGCGAGTGTTAGGCTGAGCTCCGCCTGCTCCTCGCGATCCAGCTCCTTGTCCAACACGAGCTCCGGGTATTTCCTGCCATCCCCCCGGTGGCGAGTGGAGACATGGAAGTGGGGGTTGGCGCCAATAGCGTAGTTTTGGACGCTGTTGTTGCCCACGTCCATGTCCTCCGCTTTCGTCAGAGGAAACACGGTCCCAGCAGGGCTGGTCTCCCGGATTTTCAGGGTCATTTCTCTTTCAGGAAACTCTGGAGAGTGATCGTTTATATCTCTCAGCAGGAGCTCGACTGGAAATACCTCCACCGGTTTTTTCAGTACCACTTGGAAGTGCATTACACAGTGCTCTGTGAGCCCGCACAGCTCCTCCCGGTCAAGTTTCTCATTTAATAGCAACTGCCCGGTTTGCAGATCAAGCTGCAAGTGTGGACCATTATCCTCAGAGACCACCCGGGCTCCCCGCGCTGCTAGCTCCCGCGCTGCCAGCCCCAGGTCCTGGGCCAGGTTAGTCACCAAAGCGCCTCTCTCGGTTTCCTCCAGCACAGAATAGCGGCGGGGCTCCTGACCCGCCTGAGCCGCTCCCAGTAAAAGAAAGAGAATCAGGACCTGCCTTTGTTTAGGAAAGGGTTCCCCTCCGGCCTCCATCTTGTCTTCCGCATTCGCCTGTCCAGGACCAGGGGCCGGCAATGCCTCCGGGGGCGACGGGATGGAGACGGGGACCGATTTGTCAGTGGATAACCCGTCCGGAAACGTGGGTGAGAAACATTCTCCGAAGACTCACTGGTCCGAGCTCTGCTTCCAGGCTTTTCCCTGCTACTGAAGATCTGAAGTAGAGGTTGCAGCATTTACGCGGCTCTTTTTCTGATGAACTCTTAGCCTGCAGCGCCACCATGCGTTGTTTTTGGTTCCAAAAGAATTGCTAACAATTGTTCTGATACATTGGGGTATTAGGTGTTTGGAAACTGGGGTGAACGCTGTAATCGCTAAATCATGCCATTAAAATTCTTCTTTCCTTTATTCAAAGAAGTGTTATTGATATCTATGTACCAGGTTCTGAAACACATCAATAAACAACCCAGATTTGGTCCCTACCTTCTGGAGCATGTTGGCTGGGTGGATGTGTTCTGGGGGAAACTGAGGCAGAAGACGACACTATAGCGACCAGTCACCTTGTAAAAACAATAACATACAGCCTGTGATTTCTTAAATTTATCTTACTCAAGAAGTATTAACTGCTCTAGATTTTCTTTCCTATTCTAGGCAGCCTATGTAGCAGAATTATGGTTCCCATTGGTTGGATTACATTGAGAGAAAGGCTGCAAATTCACTCCAGCTTATGATACTCTCTCTACATAAGGTCAGAGAGTTATAGTTTTATAAATTGCGTGAAATATGGGAAAATTTATGTGAAGACATTTCCTGTATATGTTGTCCCCTTTTTCTTCCTAACACTCACCATATGACATAACATAAATCTATATATTTTTCTCTGTGTCATTTCTGAGCACTAAAAACTTGTTTTGTACCCTGCTGCAGTCCGAACATCTAAAATAATCCCTGGAGCATAATACATCTCGACAAGTATTCTTCGAATGGATCAATGAATGAATTACAATTTTAAAACTCTGACAGATTGATTTTCTTTAGCTGGGACTCCAGTTCATTACAGAAGCTGGATGAAGAAGACAGCATGTTCCCAAATAGGTATTTTTATGCCACTTTGAGTAGTAATTTGAAATAACTCAGAATGATTTAAAATATCTTTTCATTAAGTGGAAAAAGACCCAGATGTTCACTAAGCAGAGAGATACATTACAAATGAAAGAATATAACAAGGTTATAAGTATTCTACAAAAACGGTTTACATCTCTTTTAGACACATTTTATATTGTCAGTGTTCTTTCATCTGCTATTATGACATAACTGATATTGAAAGGGATAATCTTATAGAGAATTTTCTAAGAATTTCTGTTAAATATTCTAAAAACTGTATCACTCTTCAGTTATCCTCAAAATTGTGTATGTTAGGGGCTGGCACTGTGGCACAGTGGATAAGCCTCTGCCTGAGATGCCAGCAGCTCATGTCACAGCACCAGCTCCTGGGAAAGCAGCAGAAGACGGCTCAAAAGTACTTGGGCCCCTGCCACCCACGTAGGAGACCCAAGTGGAGTCCTGGCTTCTGTCTGACTGAGCCTTTATCTGTTTTTCCTTTTCTCTCCACCGCTCTGCCTTGCAAGTAAATGAAACCATCATTTTTAAAAACAGTATACTGTAACAAAAGCTTTGCATGTCCTTTACAGACATGCTAATACTCTACAATCTTTTAAAGTCACAAATGTTAAACAATATGAAAGACACATTTTAAAAATCTCAAGGTAATAAGATCTAACTTACAAATCCATGCAATAAAATCTAAACATGATTTTAACAAGAAAACCCTCCCTCACTTAGCTGTATTAATTAGAAAGAATTTATTAAAAGAGCACTACTGATTTCCAAAAACCCAAAGGAGAAATTATCCTTGGGATAGACTGGAAAATCTACACTGAGGTTACTCTTTGGGCTCTCCACTTCTTGTATCTCAGTGAACTGACTTTCTGTATGTCTTTCAATATATTCAGCCAAACATGACTTAATTTTATTGTTAAGTTCCTAACAGAGAGCCTATATTATATCTAGTTTTTTAAAGCCATTTTTAAAAATACAATCAGATTAGACACAATTTGGATCAATAATGTGTACTACCTTGATCGATTGGCTAAAAACACAGAAAGAGATGTGTCATGGAAAATTAACATGGTTGCAATGGTACCTAAAGAGGAGTTTCCAGAAAAAGAAGGGGTGAGCTGGAAGATGCCAAAAAAGGAATCTATGATTTTAAAATCTTGAGATAATCTAATGATCTTTCAATAATACTAAAATACGCAGTTTCCCAAAAAGTTTCTAGAAATGGATATTATGGAAAAAAACTGCATGGTTTTCAACCTTTTATATCAAAAGAAACTTATCTATTAATTCCATATTCCATAAACTTTTTGAAGTTCATTTATAGTGAAAGTTGATATAAAAAAAAAAGATTTTAGGTTTGGAAGAAATTATACTCTTTCCCATTTAATAACGCTGTAGACAAAAGCATGCAAATTTCGCAGAAATTTCTCCATTTAAATACAAGTATTCCAGGCAGGAAAGCATTATGTCAGATTATACAGAAGTCATAGTCATTCAAAACATCATGCTTGTATTTTAGGCATCCGGAATTCTGAAGTTCCTAGACGACAATCACAGAATGGCACTAGGAACATCTCCAAACGGGACGTTGAAAAGTTGATAAATTTAACTAATATTGGTGACTTTTCAGTAATAAATAAGGTTGAAAATCCATTTGTCTCCTTCAAAATAAAAGATAAGAGGCTGTGGAGGTACAACCCAATAAGATCTATAAACTCCTAACTAGGAAACTGATGCAAACACTAGGATTTCCATATGAACAACAACAAAAACAAAAGGTTAATAGAAAACTAACAGGGAAAAAACCCATCTATTCCTTACCTAAAATGCTCTGAAATATCAATAGTTTGCTAATTGTATCCAAGACCACTAACAAATGTGGAGTTTTCCTCCAAGTTACTGAAAGCATCCTGATAATTAGGGCTAATGGGCTTCATGAACTTGAACTCCCCAGTCCCAGCGTCGCCCGTCAGGCGCACCTCGTACTGGTAGCTGTGCGACAGCGTCCCGCCGCCGCTCACGTCCAGCAGCGGCCCCTGGAAGCGGCCCTCCGCACCCGCGCCGCCGCCGCCAACCGCACACCCCGCCCCCACACCAACACCAACACCGCCCCCGCCCCCGCCCGCGCCCGCGCCGCACAGCCGCGCCGCCACCAGCGCCAGCACACTCAGCACCAAGAGCGACGACACCGCCGCCAGCGCCACCACCAGCTGCACAGTGAGCGAGTCGGGCCGCGCCGCCTCGGCCGCCGCCGCCGCCTCGGGCAGCGCCAGGTAGGGCTGCGAGAAGCCGTCCACCAGCAGCACGTGCAGCGTGACGCTGGCCGACAGCGGCGGCTCGCCGTGGTCGCGCACCAGCACCAGCAGCCGCTGCCTGGGCGCGTCGCGCTCGCTCAGCGGCCGCGCCGTGCGCACCTCGCCGCTGTGCGCCCACACGCCGAACAGCCCGGGCTCCGTGGCCTTGAGCAGCTCGAACGACAGCCAGGCGTTCTGGCCCGCGTCGCCGTCCACCGCCACCACCTTGGTCACCAGGTAGCCCGCGTCGGCCGCGCGCGGCACCAGCTCGGGGCAGGCGGCCGAGCCGTTGGCCGGCGGGTACAGCACGGCCGGCGCGTGGTCGTTGGCGTCCAGCAGCTGCACGCGCACGCGCGCCTCGCTGCTCAGCGCCGGGGAGCCGCGGTCGGCGGCGCGCACGCCGAACTCGAAGGCGCGCAGGGCCTCGTAGTCCAGCGCGCGCAGCGCGTACAGCTGCCCGCTGTCCGCGTGCACCGACACGAGCGCCGCCACGTCGGGCTGCTGTGGCGGCGGCAGCAGCGAGTAGGTCACCTGCGCGTTGGCGCCCGCGTCCCTGTCGCTGGCGCTCACGGAGCCGATGAGCAGCCCGGGGCTGTTGTTCTCGCGCACCAGCAGGGTGTAGGCGGCCTGGCTGAAGGCCGGGGCGTTGTCGTTCACGTCGGACACCTGCACCGCGACGTGGTGCCGGGTGGTCAGCCTGGGCGTGCCCAGGTCGGACACGGTGATGGTGATGTTGTACTCGGCTCTGGTCTCCCTGTCCAGGGGTCCTTCTGTTACTAGAGTGTAGAAATTCTCCACGGAAGATTTCAGCGTAAATGGAACATCGTCCTGGATGGAGCAAACCATCCTTCCATTTTCCCCAGAGTCTCGGTCTCGAATACTGAAAAGTGCTACCGTGGTTACAGGGGCATTTTCGGGGACAGGGCTTACAACTTTAGCCACCTTCAGTTCTGGAGCATTGTCGTTGATATCCAGGACCTGTATTATGACAGTGCATTTTCCAAATAAGCCCAGGCCATCAGATGCTTTAATATCCACTTCATATGACACAATGTTTTCAAAATCTAACATCCTAATTATTTTAATTTCTCCCGTGAGTTCATTAACTGCGAATGTCTTGGAAATCTCTTCATCACCATAAAAAAATGAGTAGAATATTTCACCATTAATCCCTGTGTCCAGATCTCTAGCGGAAACAGTGGCAATGACAGATCCGATGGGGCTGTTCTCTGCAACCTGCACCTGATACAGCTGCTGTACAAACTCGGGGGCGTTATCATTGACGTCCAAGACATCAATGAGGACCAGTGCAGTCCCAGTTTTGGGAGGAGCTCCCCCATCTACTGCCATCAGCGTTAACCTGAGCTCAGTCTGCTCCTCACGATCCAGGGCTTTGTCCAGAACCAGCTCCGGGTAGTTTCTGCCCTCACCACCATTGCGGGTGAGAACACGGAAGTGGGAGTTGCGGTTGATGGTGTAGTTTTGAATGTTATTGATGCCCACATCTAAATCTTGTGCAGTTTTTAGGGGAAATACAGTTCCTGGAAGAGTACTTTCCATGATTTTCAAAATCATTTTTGCTTCTAGGAAAACAGGGGAATTGTCATTTATGTCATTGACCAAAAGTTTAAGCCGATATACCTCCAAGGGTTCTTCCAGTAACACCTGGAATTGCAGCTCACAAGGATCAATAGAGCCACACAATTCTTCCCGATCCAGTTTCTCATTTACTTGCAAATCACCAGTCTGGAGGTTCAGTTGCAAATGGTTTTTGTTATTGTCAAAAATGACCCTACCCTTTCGCCAAGCCAGCTCTCCTACCCCTAGCCCTAGGTCCTTAGCTAGATTAGCTACAAAAGAACCGCTGTCTGCTTCTTCTGCAATAATATAAACCTTCTGCTCTGCGACAGTCTGAGCCAGCAAAACAAAGAGAAACAGAACTTGCCTTAGAGTAGGAAAGCGGTCCATCTCAGCCCCCATTTCTCCAACACCAAAGACTTTAGGATCCGGATGCCTGTCTGTACTCTGCTCTCGGACTCAGTCCTTGCCCGAAGCAGTTTGGGGTTAATAAAGCCTCTTCTCTCACGCAAATCTAGTTAATGGCTGCCGGAATAGTAACCCTCCTCTGTGCTGTTTCTCTTTAATGTTAGCCTATAGCGCCACCATGTGTTGTATGTAAGTCTAACTTGTTAACTGCAACAAACCGTGGAGTATTTCACTTAGATTTATGCAAAAACCCACGGGTTATATTTATGGGGTGGTTTATGACCAGACACTTTGGGAAATGAGGCAAGTACAAAGTTAGTATGTGGAATCTTGAAAAACTTCATAGAAGATGCATATTTGGAAAAAACGTCAAAATAAACTTCTTTTAATTCAAGTTTCCATGAACTTTTTCAAGTATCTTACCTATTTGTTCAAGAAATACTGGTTTCCTATTTGCATCTAGCACTGTACCAACTACTGTGAATACAAGGTTCTTTTCTGACTTCATGAAACTTATGTCTGCAATGTTGAATACTAAGTGCTTTAGGGAAAGTGCACAGAAAAAGTGTGCAGTTATCAGTCAGTTCCTAAAGAAAGAATACACACCATTGAACTCTTAAGTTACTGTTAACACAGTGGATGAAAATATTTCCAGAGTACAAATTCATTTGACACACCAAATAGAATTGGTGTGTTGGGCACTCAATAGACAGTTCAAAGAACTGTGGATAACTTATATGTAGATATTGTGTAAGCTTGTTACATTAACTCATTCCATTATCCAAAAAACAATTACTCAAGAGCATAGATATCTGTTACTAAAGCTAAGATACACAGCATTTCAGCTGAAATTCACTGAGATCCTGAAAAGGGGTCACAGAGATAAAACCTGAAGCTGGAGTGAAAAAGAAAGTTCTGAAGAAAGTAAGATCAATCTAAAGATTAAACTTATTCCCAGTTAGGAAGTTTCTGAACTCACTTTTACTAAACAACTCGCATGCCTTTTTGTGGACAGCTCGGGATCTTGGCATCTTCACATAGAACTGAAATTGCCTTACTCCTAAGGTAGGGGAAAACATCTTGGGAGGGAGAAGACCAGGGGTCTTTCCAGTGGTTCCAAACTTTACCTAATATATTTTTAAGGGTTTAATTATTTATTTGAAAGGCAGAGCTACAGGGAAAGGAGGAGACAGAGAGGTCCTCCATTTGCAGGTGCACTCCATAAGTGGCAGCAATAGCCAGGGCACCTCACGTGGGTGCAGGGGCCCAAGTACTTGGGTCATCCTCTGCTGCCTTCCCAGATGCATTGGTAGGGAGCTGGATCGGAAATGGAGCAGCCAAGACTTGAACTGGCGTCCTCATAGGATACCACAATGCTGTCCCCAGCTAGTGTTTTAATAATATCACTTAAATAATAGACACTGTCATGAATTATGGCACACTGATGATCTCACTACCTGTAAAAACTTAACATGGCCCAATTATAAGCATTGTGTTTCTTACTGGTTTAATTCCATTAAGGTACAAATCACTAAAATCAATATTGTACTTTAGAGTATTTCCTTCCACATAGTGAAACAAATTTATTTAATATTTCAAAATATGAGAAGATGATGGTTACAGTTAAAATCTGATGGGCAGTTTTTCTTATGGAAAAATCTTGGTCATGGATCCAAGTTCTTTATTATGGAGTTAAGAAAATGTGCCCTGAATACCCATGCATTTTTTTCATATTAGTGGGGTAGTAGTTGGAACCTGTTTCAGCAAGTCAGTGGATCAAAGTTGGTTTTTTAGTCCCTTCTTTTCATCTCTCAGACATATTTTTTCCCAAGATGTAAGACCCTAGACTTGGAAGAAGACTGAAAATTTTTCATGAGATCTTTAGTACTAGAGTATATGTCAATCAAATAATACTTGTTTCTGTAACCCGAATCAGAAACTACCCATATTATATATAAATTAGGATTATTTATAAGGCCTGAAAATTTTTCACTGAATGATAATACCATTCACAGTGAGCTTAGTAAATAATTTCTAAAAGACAGAGTCTGATAAAGGAGGGTACAATGATCCTAAGTAAATGCTACAACCAGAAGAATTTCAGTTCCACTTTTTAAAAGTAATCTTGGGGAAGGTAAAATAATGAGGGAACCCCAAGTTAACATGACATTCTACAAATCCCTTTGTTAACATTTATCTGTCTGAAGACCTCATCAGTTATGCATAAAATTAAATTTTGTTATAAAGTCCTTTACTAGAATGAGGTATCACTAAGCTTGTGATCCTATATTCTATTCATTAATATTAGAAACATACAATAAAATATTATAATTTGATGAGCTATGAGTAGCCAAGGTTGTATATGTCTTTCATATCTATTTTGGTCTCAAGAAAGCTCCTCCAATACAGGTTAAAGTAATTGTACTATTGGGAACCTGAAGACTTCCTGTAGAACACAAGGGCAACTAGACATTGGGCATTTAGGAGGAACTACAATCAGGAACTAGTGGGTTTAGAACCAGGCAGCTATCTTACTCTCTGTTGTTTTCTACACTTCTGCCCCCTCCACTCCTTATTCCTTCTCCTTTTACTCCCTTTCCTCTTTCCCTCCTTTCCTTGCCTCCCTCTCTCAGCCCTTCTATGTTTCCATCTTGCAGGAGTATAAGCATGACTATCTCAACTCTGTCCTTAGCATCTATTTCCTTGTTACAAGCAGTCAAGAGGAAAAACTAGATGAACTCTATCGACAATAAACTTAAGAGTTTGGAGAATGTGACTGATCCAGCTTTATTTAGGAGTCTGTCACACAACCAATAAAAAAAAAAATGGACAGGAGAGGCAAAGTAAAATGAAATAAACATCTTGATAATGACTGCCTGTATTAGGCAGTAAAAGGATGATCTCAGAAAAGAAAGGAACAGCTTGGAGAAATATCTTAAACCAAACAATGTTTTGAATTTATTTATTCATTTTTGACAGGCAGAGTTAGACAGAGACAGAGAGACAGGTCCTCCTTCCGTTGGTTCACCCCTCAAATGGCCACTATGGCTGGCGCGCTGCGCCAATCCGAGGCCAAGAGCCAGGTGCTTCCTCCTGGTCTCCCATGCTGGTGCAGGAGCCCAAGCACTTGGGCCATCCTCTACTGCCTTCCCGGGCCACAGCACAGAGCTGGACTGGAAGAGGAGGAACCGGGACAGAATCCGGCGCGCCGACCAGGACTAGAACCCGGGGTGCTGGCGCCACAGGTGGAGGATTAGCCAAGTGAGCCGCGGCGCCGGCCTGAACTTATCTTAATAATAAACCAATATCTACCAGCAATATATACAGCTCACAAAATATTTATGAAGGAAAATGCCTAAGTGTAGCAAAAATTCTCTGCAATATATGGCAAGGAAGTAGAATAGAAACATTAAACTTAAAAAAAAAAAACTTAGATAATATCTTAAAAACCAATCCAACAAGGTAACAAGCAATTAGTTCTTTATTCATATCATGCATTTTCCACTATAGCAACACTATAAATTATATGAAAACTGTTTTGGTGGAAGAACCTACAGCCAGAACACCCAGAAAAATACGATTAGGCCTAGTATGCAATTAAAATTGAAGGGGAAATGAAGGGTAAATTATTTGAGGTTCAATCTTGAACAAAAATGAAACAGCTCTCATTTTTTTCACACATAAGGAACACAAAAAATAGAAAACTCACTGAGGTTTCAAAGCTCATTAGGAAAATGAAGTTGCCAAAATGAAGAGCTCTATAATGAACAAAATATAAAAGAAATGGAGTAATTCTAAGCGTTTAGCATAATAATAATTCCCTGATTGAACATAATCCTTTCAGAAAGCAGCAGCTTTCTCCATGTAACTGTCCTGCGAAAGGAAGTTGGGGCTAATGGGCTTCATGAACTTGAACTCCCCGGTCCCAGCGTCGCCAGTCAGGCGCACCTCGTACTGGTAGCTGTGCGACAGCGTCCCGCCGCCGCTCACGTCCAGCAGCGGCCCCGGGAAGCGGCCCTCCGCACCCGCGCCGCCTCCGCCGCCGCCAACCGCACACCCCGCCCCCACACCAACACCGCCCGCGCCCCCGCCCGCGCCCGCGCCGCACAGCCGCGCCGCCACCAGCGCCAGCACACTCAGCACCAAGAGCGACGACACCGCCGCCAGCGCCACCACCAGCTGCACCGTGAGCGAGTCGGGCCGCGCCGCCTCGGCCGCCGCCGCCGCCTCGGGCAGCGCCAGGTAGGGCTGCGAGAAGCCGTCCACCAGCAGCACGTGCAGCGTGACGCTGGCCGACAGCGGCGGCTCGCCGTGGTCGCGCACCAGCACCAGCAGCCGCTGCCTGGGCGCGTCGCGCTCGCTCAGCGGCCGCGCCGTGCGCACCTCGCCGCTGTGCGCCCACACGCCGAACAGCCCGGGCTCCGTGGCCTTGAGCAGCTCGAACGACAGCCAGGCGTTCTGGCCCGCGTCGCCGTCCACCGCCACCACCTTGGTCACCAGGTAGCCCGCGTCGGCCGCGCGCGGCACCAGCTCCGGGCAGGCGGCCGAGCCGTTGGCCGGCGGGTACAGCACGGCCGGCGCGTGGTCGTTGGCGTCCAGCAGCTGCACGCGCACGCGCGCCTCGCTGCTCAGCGCCGGGGAGCCGCGGTCGGCGGCGCGCACGCCGAACTCGAAGGCGCGCAGGGCCTCGTAGTCGAGCGCGCGCAGCGCGTACAGCTGCCCGCTGTCCGCGTGCACCGACACGAGCGCCGCCACGTCGGGCTGCTGTGGCAGCGGCAGCAGCGAGTAGGTCACCTGCGCGTTGGCGCCCGCGTCCCTGTCGCTGGCGCTCACGGAGCCGATGAGCAGCCCGGGGCTGTTGTTCTCGCGCACCAGCAGGGTGTAGGCGGCCTGGCTGAAGGCCGGGGCGTTGTCGTTCACGTCGGACACCTGCACCGCGACGTGGTGCCGGGTGGTCAGCCTGGGCGTGCCCAGGTCGGACACGGTGATGGTGATGTTGTACTCGGCCCTGGTCTCCCTGTCCAGCGGGCTCTCAGTTACCAGGGTGTAGAAGTTCTTGAAAGTTGGCTTCAAAAGAAACGGGAGGTCATTCTGGATGGAGCAAACCGTCCTTCCGTTTTCTCCAGAGTCTGGATCTCGAACACTGAAAACAGCGACCACCATCTCAGGTGAAGAGTTTTCTGGGATGGGGCTGATGAGGGACGTCATGGCTATTTCTGGTGGGTTGTCATTCACATCTACAACACGAACTAAAATGGTTGCTTTTCCAGAAAGACTTCCGCCGTCAATGGCCTGAATGTTAATTGTGTAAGACTGAATTGTCTCGAAATCTAGAAGTGCTTTTAAATGAACTTCACCCGAAATCGGATGGATTTCAAATGTTTTTCGTGCATCTCTGGAGACGTGGGAAAACGAATAGGAGAGTTCTCCGTTTATCCCTGCATCTAAGTCTGAAGCGGACACCTTGATGATCAAGGAGTCCACAGGGCTGTTCTCTGGCACCTGAACTTCATATACCGGCTTCTCAAACTCAGGGGCATTGTCATTGATATCTAGGACCACCACGCGAATCAGGGCAATCCCAGACCTGGGCGGTGACCCACCATCTAAGGCTGTCAGCATCAAACTAAGCTCTGGCTCCTTTTCACGGTCTAGAGGTCGATCCAGTATCAGCTCTGGGTATTTACTGCCATCATCATTGTCTTGCAATTTAAGGTGGAAATGAGGATTGGGGGTTATTGTATAATTTTGGACACCATTCTTTCCTACATCTAAATCTTGAGCACTATCCATTGGGAATGAGGTTCCTGAAGTAGTACCTTCTAAGATTTTTAGAAGTATATTTTTGTCTAGGAAGGTGGGAGCGTGATCATTGATGTCTTTGACCAAAAGCTCAGCCCAAAAAAACTGCAAAGGGTTTTCAAATAATACCTGGAAATGCAATACACATGGCTCAATGATATCACAGAGTGCCTCCCTGTCCAGTCGCTCATTTACCAGCAAGTTGCCAGTCTGCAGATCCAAACGCAGATAAGGTTTATAGCTGTCAAAAATCACTCTGGCCCTCCGTGCAGCGAGGTCCTCCGTGCTGGGACTCATGTCTTTCACCACGTTAGCTATAAAGGAGTCAATCTCTATTTCCTCTGCCACTGAATAGCTCCAGGTCTCAGAACACACCAAAGACCCTCCCAGGCAAACAAACAAAAGCAGCACTTGCCTGATCGGTGGCGAGCTTCCCTCTCCCAGCTCCATGGCTGCGTAGCCAAACGTCTTTCTTCAGAAACCTTTCAAACCAAATCTCTAGCAGCTCTTGGAACTGCTCCTCTCATCATCAGCCAGCACCTTTGAAAACCTACAGATTTGTAATCCTGATTTCGAGGGTTTGTGCTCTACATTTCCTTTCCAAGGCCCTCTTCTGCTTCTCCAACGCTCTAAGCTCCACGCTTTAAGGGGAAACCAGACCTTCTGCTGTTAAAAACATTTCACCATCTTATCCTGCAGCGCCACCGTGCGACTCTGCAGATTTTAAGGTTTTAGACAAACTAATAAATTTGAGGCAAAATACTAATTTATCTTGTGTGCTTATTAATTTAAATTATGTTTTTTCCTATATTCATTATTGTTTTCTGAGTTGCATTTTTTTGGCGTGTGATTCAGTCTTTAACACAAAAACCACGATCTACTACAGTTGTGGTGGATGTAAAAAGCATGTTTAAAAGATGGTCCCTGCCTCAAATAAGTCATGATCTTTCTGTGAAGACAATGTACTAAACAACTAAAGATAATTAATAAAAACTCTTACATGTAGTTGACTTAATAAGCAAGAGATTTTCAGGGAAATCAGAGATGGGAAGCAGAGGCTTTATTGTTTTAAAGCTATCAGCAAAAACGCCTAGAAAAAGGCAGTAAGAATGAGGCATGTACTTGAAATTGAACCTGGTATATCAGATAGTTGTTTTGGGGAGGTTGGATATTTCAGGTTAGGTAGACGAGTAAAAGTAATTTAGAAATACTCTGTAGGAGACTTACCAGACAGAAACAGAAAATAGTGCTAATTATGAGTAAAGCTTCTGACAATGTAATCAAGTCAAACAGACTAGACCCCAGTTTGACTATGAAACTGCATTTCATCACTTTGCAAACCCAGGCTTTCCAGAGGAGATTCTTTAATTTGTTCAGCAAAAATTTATTAAGCAAATATTTTGTGCTAGGCATGGTGATAAGTATTAGGGTTAGAATAGTAAACGGATATAGTTCCTTCCATGAAAGAGGGCTAGAGAAAAAATAGTACATAATGAATACCGTGGCAGGGAAAGTTCATGCTACTACTTATAGTAGATGAACTATAAGTTCACCTACTATAGGTGAGGGACATCTAACCTGAATTTGGAAGTATAGGAAAGACTTTTCTAGAGGAAATGTTCTTTATATTGATATATGAAAAGTAAAAATAATTCAAATGAAGACTGGGCATGGGATAATATTTTCCAAACTAAAATATTATTGCATGAATCCAAAATGAGAGAATTGGAGTTATCAATTCAATTGGAGTTCAATTGGAGTAATTGAAATAAGTTCAATATGGCTGAGGCACACAGCAAAAGGAGAGAATTAGTGGGAGTTGAAATTGGAAAGATATACAAACATTTTGTGTGCCATCCCATCCATGGCATTTGGACTTTACACCAGTAGGAATGGAAGATGATCATAGGTTTTTTTTTTCTGGACAGGCAGAGTGGACAGTGAGAGAGAGACAGAGAGAAAGGTCTTCCTTTGCCTTTGGTTCACCCTCGAATAGCTGCTGCAGCTGGCGCGCTGCGGCTGGCGCACCACGCCTATCCGAAGGCAGGAGCCAGGTGCTTCTGGTCTCCCATGGGGTGCAGGGCCCAAGCACTTGGGTCATCCTCCACTGCACTCCCTGGCCACAGCAGAGAGCTGGCCTGGAAGAGGGGCAACTGGGACAGAATCCAGCACCCCAACCAGGACTAGAACCTGCTGTGTTGGCGCCATAAGGCAGAGGATTAACCTAGTGAGTTGTGGCGCCGGCCCATAGGGTTTTAAAGAGTAAAGTGACAAGTTCATGCTTTTTTTGTTGTTGTTTTTAAAAAAGATCATCTTGTTTCAAAGTTAACATTAAAGAAGAGTTTAGGTCAAGAGTGGAGACTGATTAGAAGTTATTGTAGTAAAACTGCTAAAGAGAGTGGCTTCAACTAGAAATGCAGCCATGGGGTTTTATTGGAATGACAAAGTAACATGAAGTGTGGTGGCAGATTAGACATAGAGAGAGTAAGGTAGGAAGGAAATGAAGTAAATGTACTTCATTTTCAGGCTTAGGGAACTGAGTGTTGGTGCTATTAGCTGATAGAGTAAATACAGGAAGAGAAGGGAGAGAAATAGATATGGAGCTGGAGAAGATATATTTAGTTTTGAAAGGGAAAATTTTAACTGAAAATATGTTAAGTTTGAGGTGTGCATAGGACATACACATAAATAGCACATAGATGATCTTCTATTACAAAAATGAAGGAAATGATTTGGTTGCAGAGATAAATTGGGGAATTCATTGGAACAATTGGTGATGGAAGTCCTTTAAGAAAGATAATAAATTATAGACTAAAAGAAGCTTGGGTTTGTTTAAAAAAAACAGATTAAAAAAAAGATTTATTTATTTATTTGAAAGAAAGAGTTACAGAGAGAGGCAGAGACAGAGAGGTCTTCCATCTGCTAGTTCACTCTCCAGATGACCGCAATGGCCGGAGCTGCACCAATCCGAAGCCAGGAGCCAGGAGCCTCTTCCAGGTCTCCCACATGGGTGCAAGGGCCCAAGACCTTGGGCCTTCTTCCACTGCTATCTCAGGCCACAGCATAGAGCTGGATTGGAAGAGGAGCAACCAGGACTAGAACCAGCACCCATATGGGATGCTGGCACCATGGGGTGGGGTGGGGGTGGGCTTAACCTGCTGTGAAACAGTACCAATCCCACATATCTTTTGAATCTATCATGTTAGGCTTATTTAGGTTGTCAATGAATCTGTTCATTGATGTTTTTTCATGTATTCTGGAAAACTCCTAGTAATTATTTCTTCAAGGTTTGCTTCTGATCAATCTTTTTTATCTCTGTTTCTGGAGTTCTGGTTAAGTATGTGCCAGAACCTTTTACTCTATGTTCCTAGCCATCTCTTCTGCATCCATTTCTAGGAGTTGTATCTTGTTCTTTTCTAATCTATCATAGTTTTTTATTCTCTATACATTGTTTGGTTTTAGTTCCGTTAAAAGGATTAGCATAAAGAGACTGTGATAACAACACTATCTGAAGTGCTTCCAAGTTTATTTTTGTGGGTCTTTTTCTTCTGCTGGCTGTCATTCATAGTGTCATGTTTTCTTGTGTATATGCAGTTATCTTTTACTTTATTGAAGTTAATAACATTAAAATTAGTTACGTGAATAATTTGAGGTTTAGAGTGAATAAAACTTCTTTCATAGAAGATCTTCATTTAACTTTGACAGGACCTGGAAGCACTACCTGAGAATGATCACCTTAAAACAAGTTTAAAGTTAAAAATCAAGTTCAAGGCTGAAATTCCAAGGAATCACCAACTTCTAGTTCATGCTCACTGTGAGAGTGTGGTGATCCATGCTTGTTAATGGGAGGGCTTTCTGCAAGCTCAGGTTGCTGGGCTTTGATTCTCTCCTCTACATGGAGGTTCCGATTCTCAAGCTCCAAATGTTCTCAAGGGAAATGTAGATTTTCTGCCCACTTACTTCTTGAGTTTCCTTTTAATGTTAACTTTGACCCAACAATATATTAGTGTCCTAACAGCTAATTATTTTCAGAGAAAGCATAGGTATACATGAATTATGCCATTCTTATTAAAGATATAAAGTCTCAGGTATATTGTTACACCTCAAAATCACACATGAATACTTAGCTTTCATGGTGTGCAGGCAACTGATCTTGAAAGGTTAGAGAGGGGCTGGCACTGTGGAGTAGCACATCAAGCCGCTGCCAGATGCAGTGCTGGCATCCCATATGGGCGCCAGTTCAAGTCCTGGCTGCTCCAATTCCAATTCAGCTATCTGCTGTGGCCTGGGAAAGCAGTAGAAGATGGCCCAAGTCCTTGGGCCCCTGCACCTGCGTGGGTGACCTGGAAGAAGCTCCTAGGTCCTGGCTTCAGATTGTCAGAACTCCAGCCTTTGCAGCCAACTGGGAAGTGAACCAGTGGATGGAAGACCTCTTTCTGTGTGTCTCTCTCTCTCTGTCTCTCCTTCTCTCTCTGTGTAACTTTGACTTTCAAGTAAATAAATAAATCTTTAAAAAGGCTAGAGAAATGTTTATTTAACCTTCAACTGATCAATCTTAAATCATCCCTATAATGATGCAATTAATTTATTTTTAAGATTTATTTATTTGGAAGTCAGAGTTACACACAGAGAGAAGGAGAGGCAGAAGAGAGAGAGAGGTTTTCCATACACTGGTTCACTCCCCAGTTGGCTGCAATGGCCAGAGATGCACTGATCTGAAGCCAGGAGCCAGGAGATTCTTCTGGGTCTCCCTCAAGGGTACAGGGGCCCAAGGACTTGGGTCATCTTCTACTGCTTTCCCAGGCCATAGCAGAGAGCTGGATCGAAGTGGAGCAGCTGGGACATGAACTGGCGCCCACATGGGATGCCGGCACTGCAGGTGGTAGCTTAACCTACTAAGCCACAGTGCCTGCCCCATGATGCAATTAATTACACAATCTGTTGCAAGAGACAGCTTCTGTTGTTGACATTGATATTTGTACCCATTTTTCTTTATAACATTTTCTTTTTAAAAAGATTTCATTTATTTATTTGAGAGGTAGAGTTACAGAGAGATATGAAGACACAGAGAGAGAGGTCTTCCATCCACTGGTTCACTCTCCAGAAGGCCGCAACAACCAAAGCTGAGCCAATCCAAAGCCAGGAGCCAGGAGCTTCTTCCAGGGCCCAAGGACTTGGACCACCTTCTACTGCTTTCCCAAGCAACAGCAGAGAGCTGGATCGGAAGAGGAGAGGCCGAGACTTGAACTAGTTCCCATATGGGATTCTGGAGCCGCAGGCAAAATCTTAGCCCACTACACCACAGTGCCGGTTCCTATTTATAACATTTCTGCCCTATATACTCACATGCATATCTTATCCTATAAGTCTTCTGCAACTTCTTTTCTACATCTTTATCTTCTTTCCCATATTTATATTTAAATATATTATGGGTCTCAAAAATAGGATATGGTCTGTAAATATGTTTGTGGGGTTTTATTTTTTATTTATTTTTATTAATTTATTTTTTTGACAGGCAGAGTTAGACAGTGAGAAAGAGAGACAGAAAGGTCTTCCTTTTTCCATTGGTTCACCCCCCAAAAGGCCACTACGGCTGGCGCACTGTGGCTGGCGCGCCACGCCAATCCGAAGCCAGGAGCCAGGTGCTTCCTCATGGTCTCCCATGGGGTGCAGGGCCCAAGCACTTGGGCCATCCTCCACTGCACTCCCGGGCCACTGCAGAGAGCTGCACTGGAAGAGGAGCAACTGGGACTAGAACCCAGGGTGCCGGCACCGCAGGTGGAGGATTAGCCAAGTGAGCTGCAGCGCCGGCCTGTGTTTTTTTGTTTGTTTGTTTGTTTTTAATATTTTAGGGAGCTGGAGTTGCAGCACAGTAGGTTAAGCCACTGCTTGTGACACTGGCATCCTATATGGGCATGCCAGTTTGAAATCTGGCTGCTCTGTATTTTTTTAAAGATTTATTTATTTATTTGAAAATTGGTTACACAGAGAGAAGGAAAGGCAGAGAGGCAGAGAGAGCGAGCGAGCGAGCGAGCGAGCTTCCCTCTCCTGGTTTACTCCCCAGATAGCTTCAATAGCCGGAGCTGTGCCGATCTGAAGCCAGGAGCTCCTTCCAGGTCTCCCATGTGGGTGCAGAAGCCAAAGGACTTGGGCCATTGTCTACTGTTTTCCCAGGCCACAGCAGAGAGCTGGATCAGAAGTAGAGCAGCCAGGACTTGAACCGGCAACCATATGGGATTCCGGCACTGTAGACAGTTTTACCCACTAAGTCACAGCACCAGCTCCTTCTCTGCTTTTGATCCAGCTTCCTGCCTGGTAAAGTAGTAGATGACGGCCAGGTGCCTGGGCCCCTGTCACCCACATGGAAGACCCTGAGGGAGTTCTGGGCTCTTGGCTTCTGCCTGGCCCAGTCCCAGCCTTTGTAGTTATGTGGTGAGTGAACCAGTGGATTAAAGATCTCTCTGCCTCTCTTGATCTCCCTCTCTTTCTCTGTTACTCTTTCAAAAAACATTCTTATAAGTTTGAGGAAAAATGAAATTAAAAGATAAGCTTATTTTTAAAATACATAAATAAAACATTTAGGATTTATCCATGTAACTGGGTGTATATCTAGCTTATTTCTTTTGATGACTGCATAATAATCTTTCACAAGCATGTTCTATATTTTATTTTGGGGATCTTTATTGTATATGAAAGTGGATTCTCATTCCTATTTTTCCAAGTTGAATGTAGTCATATACCCCATTTTGTAAAGCTGTAAAAGAGTTTTCTGGCTTGTTAAATCAAAGTAAAATTGATGTACCACAGGTTATATACAAATTAAATTTCACTAAATACTACTAGATCACTCTCTAAATAGGTTGCACTGTGATTTCCTATTAATCCATTTGATATTATTTAAATTTTTCATCTTTGCTAATGTTGTGGATATAAATTGGTGTTGATTTTAGTGTATTTCACCAACCATGGGGCTGAATATAATTTCAAGCTCTTTTTTGGACTTGCTGTTTGCCTTTTAAAATCCCTTCTTTCTTCCTTAAAAAAATCTTACTGCCTCTCCTTTTTGGCGTTTTGCTGATTTTCAAAGGTTATTTGAATAATTTAAATATTAATTCTTAGTTAAAATATTGTGACTTTTCCCCATCATCTGCTAGTTTGTGCTAGCCTTCAGTTTTGAGGAAGTAATATGTACTCATTTGTATTTTTATTGTTCATACTTTAAAGACTTGTTAAGAAATTCAAATCAATACTAAAGTCATATTTTTATCAAAGATTATTTTTCCAATTCTAATACTTAAATTCACCGTTTAAATACATATGGATTTTATTACAAGAACTTTGTTTCCATGTTGAGCGAATTTTCCAAAAAACATTGGCTAGGTAATCAATCTCTCTTCTCTTGCCCTCACCCAAACCCTGCCCAGTAATTCTGACACTCCTCTATCAAGACCAACTCTTATGCTACAGTAAACAGATCTGCTTCTATCTGGTAACTGATGAGTCTGTTGCTATATCACTCAAATTGATTTTTTTACTTCAGATTTTTAAAAAGATGTATTTATTTATTTGAAAGTCAGAGTTACACACAGAGAGAGGAGAGGCAGAGAGAGAGGTCCTCCATCCAATGGTGCACTCCCCAGATGGCTGCAACAGCTGGAGCTGCGCCGATCTGAAGCCAGGAGCCAGGAGCTTCTTCCAGGTCTCCTACATGGGTGCAGGGGCCCAAGGACTTGGGCCATCTTCTACTGCTATCCCAGGCCATAGCAGAGAGCTGGATTGGAAGAGGAGCAGCTGGGACTAGAACCAGTACCCATATGGGATGCCAGAGCTTCAGACCAGGGTGTTAAACCCACTGTGCCAGCGCTGGCCCCTTACTTCAGATTTTTAAATATGTTCTATTATCCATACAGAAAAATATTTTTAATAAAAAAAGACTACCTTAGTTCTTCATCAAATTTTCCTTCCATGTCAGTATTAAGAAGCATTTCTAAATCCTCACCTACTTGTCATAGACTTCCTTGGAGATGCATTGAATTTATAGATTATTCTGGGAAGAATAGACATCTTTATCATGTTGACTTGTTCTGTTAAGGGACCAGTATCTTTTTAATTTATTGGGACATTTCATTATATTGCTTTATTGATATCATTCATTTTCCACAAAGATTTTCTGCGTTTGTCGTTAGGTTATTTCCTAGAAACAATAGTTTCAATTACTATTTTAACTTTTCATTTCTAATTGGGTAAATGTGTGAGTAAATATATATTCTCTTATTCTTTCCATTTCACATCTTTTCCATCTTTTAATTATATTTTTTCAATATTTCTTTCTTCAGTGTTTACTTATTGGACCTACCAGTGGCTTTTATGGGTTGTTTTGACTTCTTAGGAATCTGATGGATAATGAGTGCTTAACTTCTTTCCATGATTTTATGATTTAAATATCAATTTAAGTCATATAACTAATAAATTTTTGTTGAAACAAAAAACAGAACCAGTTAAAATCACATGAAGTGGGGCCAGCATTGTGGTGTAGGGGGTAAAGCCATTGCCTGAGATGACATCAGTTTGAGTCTAGGCTGCTCCACTTCTAGTCCAGCTTCCTGCTAATGGCCTGGGAAAAGCAGTAGAAGGTGGTCCAAATGTTTGGGGCCATGACACCCATTTGGGAGACCCAGATGATGCTCCTGGCTCCTGGCCCTGGCTGTTTTGGCAACCTGGGGAGGGAACCAGTGGATGGAAGATCCCTCTCTCTCTGTAACTTTCAAAATAAATAAATAAATCATAAAAAAACAGATTAATCTTTCAAAAGATTGTAAGAGGCAGAATGAGAAAAGATTCCTAAGGAAAAAGGAAACTGGAATTTGTTTTATCTATTTCACAATGCTAAGTAAAAGTCCATTTTACCAAGCACATGTTGCAGCACAGGGGGTTAAGCCATTCCATACTGGGGTGCCAATTTCAATCTGAGCTATTCTTGTGTGCTTCCAAACCAGTTTTATGCTAATGCACCTGCGAGGAGTGGATGATGGCCCTAGTACTTGGGTTCTTGCCACCCACATGGGAGACCTGGATGGAGTTCCTAGCTCTTGGCTTTGGGATGGTCCAGCCCCAGTTATTGAGGACATTTGGAGAGTGAACCAATCAATGGAAGATTTGTCTCTCCTGTCATTCTGCCTTACAATTTATGAATCTTTAAAATAAAATAAAACAAATTCTATTATAGCATCTATACTATAGCATTTAATTTTATGAAAGCAATTACAGAAATCTATATTCTGGGGCTGGTAGAGTGACACAGCAGGTTAAGCCGCTACTTGGGATGCCCGCAATGCATTATCAGATGGTCTGCTTCAAATTCTGGCTACTCCTTTTCCAATCCAGCTTCCTGCTAATGGACCTGGGAAGGCAGCAGATGATGGCTCAAGTATTTGAGTCCCTGCCACCCAAGTTGGAAACCTGGATGGAGTGCCTGGCTTCTGGCTTCAGTCTGGCCTAGCCCTGGCTGTTGCAGGCATTTGGGGAGGGAACAAGTAGACAGAAGATTCTCCCTCTCTATCTCTCACTCTTTCTCTGTCACTCTTTCAAATAAATACTTTTGAAAAGAGAAATATATATGCACACTTGCCCCCATATCTGCACTGTATTCTAGTTATGAAAATCTCTACTTTCCCTCCATCTAACTGACCACTTATAGATTTAAGACATTATTTGTTAGTGAGGTACCTATAAATCATAAATGAGGACCAATTCTTCAGAGGTTTTTGAAATCATAAATGATGTTTCACATTTACTCTTAATGATGACGTAAACTTAACTCTTTTTAACAGTTTAAATATTCAATTTCTTTTTAAAAATTTGTTTGAGAGGTAGAGTTACAGATAGAGAGGGTAAGAGCCAGAGAGAAAAGTCTTCCATCTGCTGGTTCACTCCCCAAATGCCCAGAATGGCTGGAGCTGAGCCAATCCAAAACCAGAAGCTGGGAGCTTCCTCTGGGTCTCCCATGCAGGTGCAGGGACCCAAGCACTTGGGCCATCTTCTACTGCTTTCCCAGGCCACAACAGAGAGCTGGATGGGAAGTGGAGCAGCAGGGATACTGTCACCTCTGGCAGAGGCTTGGCCCACTATGCCACGGTGCTGACCCCTTCATTTTAATTTCTTTTTTAAATGTTAATTTGAGCATATTTTTAAAGATTTTTTATTTATTTATTTGAGAGGTAGAGTTATAGATATAAATGAAGAGACAGAACCATCTCCTGATTCTCTCTTCAAATGGCCACAATGGCTGGAGTTAGGCCAATCTGGAGCCAGAAACCAGCAGCTTCCTCTGTGTCTCCCACGCAGGTGCAGGGGCCCAAACATTTGGCCCATCTTCTGCTTTCCCAGTCCACAGCAGAGAGCTAGATAGGAGGAGGAGCAGCCAGGACTTGAACTGGTGCCTATATGGGATGCTGGCGCCGCAGGTGGAGGCTTAGACCACTACACCACAGCATCAGCCCCCCCCCCCATTTTAATTTCTTAAGAAGCTTTTGCCCTTTATTCTTTCATGAAGTTATTCAGGATGAGACCATGAACTATTATCTGTTTTAGTAAAGAAAAATCTAAATACAAATTTAAATGAGTAAACACGGCTGGTGGCTGGCATTCTGGCATAGTTAAGCCATTGCCTGCAGCGCCAGCCTCCCATATGGCTACAGGTTCAAGTCCAGGTTGCTCCACTTCTGATCCAGTTCCCTGTGAATGTTCCTGGGAAAGCAGCAGAAGATGGCCCAAGTGCTTGGGCCCCTACACTCACACAGATCTGGATAGAGTTCCAGGTTCCTGGCTTGGGCCTGGCCCAGCCCTTGCTGGTGGTGAATATTCTTTCTCTCCCTCTCTCTGTAACTGCCTCTCAAGTGAAAACATAAATCTATTAAAAATGAGTAAATCTGAAATATTTAAAGAAAACAATATAGCAATACCAAAGCACAGAATATTGTAATACTCCTCACAAGCATTAAAAACAACAAAAATACTTAAAGAAAAAACCACTTAAGAAATCGATCACTTACAATGTAATCACTTTAATTTTCCTACAACATGAATTCTTGAAAAATAACTTTCTCCAGAACTCAAAAAGAGGCGATAGTATGTTACATTTATGATGAAAAATTTTAGAAAACAGTGCAATAAACCAATATTCTTTGTACTCATTCAACATTTTTATTTCTGATTTGTCTGTTTTGATGGTGTGTATAAGTAAATTAATAATGACATTTAGTCTTAATACTTTAGGTTCCATATCCAAATAATTAAAAATATTGTCTTGCACAACAATATCACTATCATAGCAAGAAGCAGTAGTAATTTGATTAATACACTTTTGACTAAATAAAAACCCAGAAAGCACGGATGCACAGTTATTAAATGAGTTCTAAAGAAACTCTGAAGACAGCATAAGAAATACTGCATGCAACTACCAGATGATATAAAATGCATTAAAATTTAGACAAAAAAATCAGCAGTTTTACGAGAATAAAAGATTAGAAGTTTAAAAATATTATCTTATTGAATGTTGAATCCGAAGCTATTACGGAAGTTTTCACTTTCTTCTATATTCCTACCAACGTCAGAGACTTGAAGATTGGGGCTAATGGATTTCATGAACTTGAACTCCCCGGTCCCAGCGTCGCCCGTCAGGCGCACCTCGTACTGGTAGCTGTGCGACAGCGTCCCGCCGCCGCTCACGTCCAGCAGCGGCCCCGGGAAGCGGCCCTCCGCACCCGCGCCGCCGCCGCCGCCGCCAACCGCACACCCCGCCCCCACCCCGCCCCCGCCCCCGCCCGCGCCGCACAGCCGCGCCGCCACCAGCGCCAGCACACTCAGCACCAAGAGCGACGACACCGCCGCCAGCGCCACCACCAGCTGCACCGTGAGCGAGTCGGGCCGCGCCGCCTCGGCCGCCGCCGCCGCCTCGGGCAGCGCCAGGTAGGGCTGCGAGAAGCCGTCCACCAGCAGCACGTGCAGCGTGACGCTGGCCGACAGCGGCGGCTCGCCGTGGTCGCGCACCAGCACCAGCAGCCGCTGCCTGGGCGCGTCGCGCTCGCTCAGCGGCCGCGCCGTGCGCACCTCGCCGCTGTGCGCCCACACGCCGAACAGCCCGGGCTCCGTGGCCTTGAGCAGCTCGAACGACAGCCAGGCGTTCTGGCCCGCGTCGCCGTCCACCGCCACCACCTTGGTCACCAGGTAGCCCGCGTCGGCCGCGCGCGGCACCAGCTCGGGGCAGGCGGCCGAGCCGTTGGCCGGCGGGTACAGCACGGCCGGCGCGTGGTCGTTGGCGTCCAGCAGCTGCACGCGCACGCGCGCCTCGCTGCTCAGCGCCGGGGAGCCGCGGTCGGCGGCGCGCACGCCGAACTCGAAGGCGCGCAGGGCCTCGTAGTCCAGCGCGCGCAGCGCGTACAGCTGCCCGCTGTCCGCGTGCACCGACACGAGCGCCGCCACGTCGGGCTGCTGTGGCGGCGGCAGCAGCGAGTAGGTCACCTGCGCGTTGGCGCCCGCGTCCCTGTCGCTGGCGCTCACGGAGCCGATGAGCAGCCCGGGGCTGTTGTTCTCGCGCACCAGCAGGGTGTAGGCGGCCTGGCTGAAGGCCGGGGCGTTGTCGTTCACGTCGGACACCTGCACCGCGACGTGGTGCCGGGTGGTCAGCCTGGGCGTGCCCAGGTCGGACACGGTGATGGTGATGTTGTACTCGGCCCTGGCCTCCCTGTCCAGCGCTCCATCGGTTACCAGGGTGTAGAAGTTCTTGAAAGTGGGCTTCAAAAGGAAGGGGAGGTCATCCTGAATAGAGCAAACCATCCTTCCGTTGTCTCCAGAGTCTGGATCTCGGACACTGAAGATGGCGACAAGAGTCTCTGGCGTGTTTTCTGGAATGCTGTTTGTGATTGATGAAATGGTCACTTCTGGTGGGTTGTCGTTTACATCCAGTACCTTAATCACAAGAGTGCATTTTCCTGAGAGACCCCCACCGTCTGTTGCCTGAGTAGTTATAGTGTACGATTGTATTACTTCAAAATCCAGGTGTGATTTCAGACCAACTTCCCCAGTTACTGGGTTGATTTCAAAGGTTTTACGAACATCTTCTGATGCATGGAAAAGTGTGTAAGAAATTTTCCCAAAACTTCCTGCATCTATATCCTTAGCAGAGAGAGTGATAATCCGGGAGCCAACGTCTGTGTCCTCAGGCACCTGTACCTCATAGAGGTTCTCAGCAAACTCAGGGGAGTTATCGTTGATGTCCAAGACCTTAATGAGAACCAAGGTTGTCCCAGACAAGGGCGGGGCCCCACCATCTACTGCTGTCAGTGTCAGTTTTAGCTCGGGTTCCTCCTCATGATCCAATGCTCTATGTAGGACCAGCTCTGGGTATATCTTTCCATCACCACTGTCTCGAATGTTAATGTAGAAATGAGAGTTGGGACTAATTGTATAGTTTTGCAGACAATTGGTTCCTATGTCCAGATCTTGAGCACTCTCCATTAGAAATGTGGTTCCAATAGCAGTATTTTCTGATATTTTCACAAGTATTTCCTTGTCCAGGAATGTGGGAGAGTGATCATTTATGTCTTTGATGTGTAGCTCAGCCCGAAAAAACTGTAAAGGGTTTTTTAATAACACCTGAAAAGGCAGCACACAGGGCTCAGAGGTGCCGCACAGCTCTTCCCGGTCTAGTTTCTCATTAAGGAGCAAATCGCCGGTCAGCGGATCCAGTCGCAAGTGGTTCTCATTATCATCAGACACTACCCGGGCCTCCCGCGAGGACAGCTCGTCCACCCCTACCCCCAAGTCCCTTGCCAGATTAGCCACAAAAGAACCAATTTCTGTTTCCTCTGCCATGGAATACCGCACAGATTCAGAACCCGCCTGACACAATCCCAGCCAAACAAAGAAAATCAGGACTTGCCTTCCTCGCGGAGGGAGCGCCCCTCTGCTCTCCATGGTTCCTCCTGACAGCTTCTTTTGTGGAGAATTTCAGGCTCAGCTCTAACTTTGGTAAATTAAGGCCTGATTTCTTGATAGGAAACTGCTGGAGAGGGTGCAGCCCTCCAGCGGCTCTGCAGGTGACAATCCTTAATACCTCCCTCTTCAGGGGGTTGGCTCTTCTCTGCTCTGAATAATAATGAAGCCTGCAGACTGTTTTTAATCTTATCCTGTAGCGCCACCATGTGTCTCTATGGATTTTTTCATTAAAAAATTTTTCCTTTGACTCGGAAATTCATGAATGCATCTGGAGTGTGCAAAAGCAAGTCCCAGATATCATAATTTTTACCCGTAAATACACCACTAATATCTCTAATGGATAAAGGCTCAAACTGTAATACCAATGTCAGAATAAGGAAATTTAGTGGGGCCGGTGCTGTGGCATAGTAGAGTAAGCTTTCGCCTGTGGCACCGGCATCCCATATGGCACCAGTTCAAGTCCGGGCTGCTCCACTTCTGACCCAGCTCTCTGCTGTGGCCTGGGAAGGCAGAAGATGGCCCAAGTGCTTGGGCCCCTACATCCACGTGAGAGACCTGGAAGAAACTCCTGACTTCAGGTCTGCCCAGCCTCAGCCATTGTGGCCATTTGGGGAGTGAACCAGCAAATGGAAGACTTTTATCTCTGTCTCTCCTTTTCTCTGTAACCCTGCCTCTCAAATAAATAAATAAATCTTTTAAAAAGAAAATGTGGTAATAATTCCGTTATATAATTTTTACTCAGCCTATATTTATCTTTTTCTCAGTTGTCTCCAAAATGTCTTTTACCATTGTTTTGCTTGAATTGGAATCCAAATAAGACCCACACATTGAATTTAATATTATTATTTTGAATTCTTGATACAAAAAGACCCATCAAAATATTCTGTATTGAAAAACAGTATTTTTCAGGCTATTTCATGAACAATAACAAATATATTATCTCCTCCACTTTTGTAAATATTTGTTGAGTACATTTAGTAATATAATTACTTTCATATTTAAAAAATACATATGTGAGGATGTGGCACAAGAAGTTAGAGATAATTCTTGTCTTTATGGATGTCATGAACTAGAAAAATTGGCAGATGAGTAATTAAAGTGGGTCACAATTCATGCATAGCTAAATAATAATATGGAATAGCTGAAGGGACATATTTCACCTGTATAGTATAGTAGTTAGGAAAATGTGGTCAGGGACCAAAATGTCAACGTTAGAATCCTGGTGCTGCCACTTTCTATCTACAGGTTTGAGCAAGTCATGTGCCTCTTTCCTCAGATACATAGCATTTACCTCCCAGATTATTACCATAGGAAGCTAGTGAGTTATATTGTTTACAAACTGGTTAGTAACTGCTCATTAAGTATCTGTTAAAAATGATTAAAATATAACCCAGATTTTGGGACACAAGTTAAAGCTTTCCTAAGATAGAAAACTATACTTTGTGATCTGAAGAAGCTAGTTAAGAGAAGGAGAAATGTTTCATACAAGGATTTTGAAAAATATAGAAATGTAAGTATGCCTCAAACTTTAAACCATGGATAGGCAATATTTTTAAAAGAGATTAAAGAAAAAAGTAGGTTAAGAACAAAGATGATTGCATAGGTATTATATATTCTTGGATTTTATCATAAGTGCAGTACAAATATAATGTAGGATTTTAAACATTTGATTAAAATGATCACATCTGTACTTTGGCTTGGCTGAAGAAGGGAAGCCCCAGAGTTCAAAATCATGAAACTAAAAGTAAATAATATTTCAAGGAGATGAGGAAGAGCAACTGCAGTAAATGCTTCCAAACAGTCAGGAAAAAATATGCATTAAAATTATCTCTTGGATTTAAGATGATGGCCATTACAGGGGACTCATGGTGTCTGCTAAAAACTGTTCTTTTCCTCTGCAGTAATGGAACTACACCCAGAAACATGGCCTGTCCCAGCCTGCCTTGTGGTTAGGTGTGGCCAAGTGACTTAAGTTCTCATAGATGGATTGTGAGAAATTTTGTTTGCCACTTCCAGGCAAAAGAGAAGACATCTCAATATGCCTTTTCCCATGAAGCCACAGGAACACAAAGGTGGTAGTGACACCACTACAGCCATGCAGATATGACATCACCCAATGGAATGTTCAGTTACAACCAAATTCGATTCCAGAAACACAATATTTTATCATTTACACTTGAACTGACACGTGTAGGAAACACACATTTTGACAAGCTATTGTGTAATTGCATTTCTTTGCTTCAGCAACCTTTACATAATTTATATTTTAAGTGTTTGATGACCTTTACAGTGGTAATTTTAGTAGAGATGAACGTTAGATTGTACTTGGTTGACAAATGGGAAGGGTGAGGGAACAAGAACATAGACAACACTTAAGGAATTTATAAAAGAAGAAAAAGCTGTAAAGAGAAGAAATAGATTGGTATCTGAGGATAATTCAGACTTAAGGGGTTATTTTAGGACTGGGGGCGGGGGGAAGACTAGAGAAACTTGAACACATTTAATGTACTAACATGTAATACTCGGTAGCAAGGGAGAAAAGTAAAATGCACAGGGGCCGGCCCTATGGCACAGCAGGTTAAGGCCCCAGCCTGCAGCGCCGTCATCCCATATGGACGCCGGTTCAGCTCCTTTTCCGATCCAGCTCTCTGCTATGGCCTGGGAAATCAGTGGAAGGTGGCCCAAGTCTTTGGACCCCTACACCCACATGGGAAACCTGGAAGAAGCTCCTGGCTCCTGGCTTCGGATCAGCGCAGCTTCGGGCATTGTGGCGAGTTGGGGAGTGAACCAGCAGAATGGAAGACTTCTCTTTCTGGCTCTACCTCTCTCTGTAACTCTGTCTTTCAAAGAAATAAAAGAATTCTTTTTAAAAAAGTAAGATGCAGACGAGGTAATCAATGTGAGGGACCAAAAAGTGGTTAAGGATGGGATGGAGACAGTACATGAAGGGATTAGACTTAGGTGGGCAGAAGGGATCTCAACAGGAGGAATACATAGGTACAGGTGCTGTCAAAGTTGTGGATTCCTGCAGGACAGGAAATTGAAATAATTTCTGAATGACTGATTCTCTTTTCTATGTATTGATCACACATTCACCTGATAAAGGGGAGGAGGTATGTGAGTAAGTGGTAGGATAAGGAGTTTAAACTAAGGTAAGTTTTTTTTTCTTTTTGGCAGGCAGAGTTAGACAGTGAGAGAGAGACAGAGAGAAAGGTCTTCCTTCCGTTGGTTCACCCCTGAAATGGCCACTATGGCCGGCCAGCATGCTGCGCCAATCCGAACCAGGAGCCAGGTGCTTATCCTGGTCTCCCATGGGGTGCAGGGGCCAAGCCCTTGGGCCATCCTCCACTGCCTTCCCGAGCCACAGCAGAGAGCTGGACTTGAAGAGGAGCAACCGGGACAGAATCCAGTGCCCCAGCTGGGACTAGAAACCGGGTTACCGGTGCTGCAGGTGGAGGATTAGCCTAGTGAGCCACAGCGCAGGCCGGTAAGTTGGTTTTAAAATAGTTGTGGAGAACAGAAATCTGATTAAGAAACCTATAAAAGGATTTCTTGGTCTCAAAACCCCAACTGAATTTGATATAACAAATTCATAGTTGCAATGGATTTACACTTTTCTAAGTTTTATAGAGTTCAGCAGCCCAGGCACTAGAGAGGATTCATCTAGAGTGGAGTTTCATCAGGAATTTGATGAAGAAAGATTGAACACAGGAACGGAACATGAGTGTGAGAGTGACTGGGAGTGTTAACCCAGGGAAGCAGGAGGGATTGATAACTGGTAGCCACATCATGGAATGCAGGTATTGATAGGATCAAAGAAAGACAAGATGAGACAAGAGACAAGAGAGCAGGATGAGAGGAGAGGGTTAAGGCAGAGAGGAGTGCTCTCAGAGGGAGGTTCCTGAGACTATCATAGAAATAACATCTGTGGTGATAGAAAAGTACAGGAGATGGCCAGGACAGTAATCGTGATATAGGTCAAGTCCTAAGGACTGAGAGGTCATGTTCTAAGATTATCAGTGGATCCAGGACTTTGGTTGACAGGAAGATGAGAAGAGTGTGTGTATGCCAGACTGTCCGCAGGTCCTTTTCCCCCAATACTCTTGAGTAATTCCAAATTAAACTGTTACGTGGCTTTCACTGGTAAGGGTTTTCAAGAAAATGCATTCTGGGAAGCCCCATCAGTTCTTGTGTCCTCATTTTCCATGTAGACTTTCCTGCACTGGAGGTAATAACCACTTCCTTAATATCTTACCATTTACAGCTGTTTAGGGTAAAATTGACCAGTGCAGCTTGAATTGTATGCGAGGGCTTAAATTTAGCTATAAATAAGATGTGTGAAGCATAAGAGAAAATTTTGGTTTTTCTAATACATTTTAGGAGACTTAGTTGGTGACTTGAATCTGGGCATATGAGCTCCTGCAGACTCGGCTAACCTCCATTAGAGTGAGGAAACATATGGTTCTTTCCAGCAAAAGAGAAGTCCTGCTGCCCAGATCGCTGGGCAGACCTGAAACTGCACCTGGTCCTCAGCTCTGCCATTGCTTTGGTTTCACCTTCCTGCCTGAGCTGTGTGAACTCCTCTTTCCACCTCAGCATTACAGTTCAGGGCACACAACATGGTTGACCTCTGTTCTCATTCCTCTTGGATGCAGACTCCAAGGTATCTGCACAGTTCAACAAACCGTTAAGGAAGGCTTAGCCTTTAAGAAGTGTAAACATCAGGTTATCTTGGATATAGTAGAGCAAGAGCTTGTACCTCCTGGCATTATCAATGCACTAATATTTAACCACTCTATAATTTTAAGATAAAGTTTTGAAGTATCTTCAAGAGAAAGTTTCTGGCACTAGAAGCAAATATTTAATTTCTCCCTGTTCATTTCCTCTATCCCTACCTTCTCTCTAACCTGCATGCCCGTCCCCACCCCCCACCGGCCTTCCCTCACTATCTTTACTCATTTTGTTCATCCACATGTGCCTTCCATGGTATACACTGACTTTAGACTTTATGATGAAATTTATGGGAAACCATGAAGGGCTTTTGGGTCATACTGTCAGAGTACTATGGGCAGAATGGTTGTTGATGGCTATGTAGCAGAAGGCCAAATTTCCTTATACAATGGTTTGAACTTTTTATTAAGGATTAGAACACAAAGAACTACCTTTTGGTATTTCTCAGTGCTCCATACATATCACACTTTTATACCTCCAAAAAGTAATTATCAAACTTTGGGTTACTACGCATTAGGACAAGATGTCATTTAATGGATCATAATCACATCTGAAAATTAAATAAGGAATAATATTGCAATTTCAGATTGTATCAAAAAAGGTTGACCAAGTCTATAAAATATTTCTTTGTAATTTTGTTGTAAAATTATAATTCAGATGTCTGAATTCAACTGAATCACATTTTTGCTTTGTAACATTAGTGATACATATGGAAAATTACAACTTCACGTTGGAAGAGTCTGTGAGCGGCCATAGCCTGAACCTGTCTTTCCACTCCCCAGAATGAATAAGGAAAAGCCAAAGAGTCGCTTGCCTTTTGGCCTTTTCTAACCAGGTTTTCACAGTTAATGGTTGGACCATGGAATATTTTTTTCAAATTTATTTTTAACAGTGGTAAATATTTTTAATGTTATCTAAAAATTCAGTGAATTTCAGAAAGATATTTCTGAATCGCTGCTATTACTAAACCACAAGAAAAAAAAACTGCAAAAAGAAGATTCAAATGAACAAATGCTTGAATATAAATATTTTTAAAGTGCAGTTTTATTTTCCCATAAGCATAATTGTGAGTGAAATTTAACGAGAATGATTTGATGGATGTTAATAAAGAAGGCAAAATAATTATAAATTAAGACCTCCAAGGTACTGACCACTTCATTACAACTACAAATGCCTATTGAAAAACAAAGTTGAGAACACAATACCAATAAAATATAAACGCAACATCAAGGCAATTTAAAGCACACACAGTACCAAAAATAGCACACATAGGCAATATAAAATCAGTGATTGTCACTGAATATCGAATCCAAACGCATTGTGGAAAGTGGGAGCTTCCTCTATTTCTTTCCCGGGGTATTGGGTTGTAAGGATGGGGCTAATGGGCTTCATGAACTTGAACTCCCCGGTCCCAGCGTCGCCCGTCAGGCGCACCTCGTACTGGTAGCTGTGCGACAGCGTCCCGCCGCCGCTCACGTCCAGCAGCGGCCCCGGGAAGCGGCCCTCCGCACCCGCGCCGCCGCCGCCGCCGCCGCCGCCAACCGCACACCCCGCCCCCACACCGACACCGCCCGCGCCCCCGCCCGCGCCCGCGCCGCACAGCCGCGCCGCCACCAGCGCCAGCACACTCAGCACCAAGAGCGACGACACCGCCGCCAGCGCCACCACCAGCTGCACCGTGAGCGAGTCGGGCCGCGCCGCCTCGGCCGCCGCCGCCGCCTCGGGCAGCGCCAGGTAGGGCTGCGAGAAGCCGTCCACCAGCAGCACGTGCAGCGTGACGCTGGCCGACAGCGGCGGCTCGCCGTGGTCGCGCACCAGCACCAGCAGCCGCTGCCTGGGCGCGTCGCGCTCGCTCAGCGGCCGCGCCGTGCGCACCTCGCCGCTGTGCGCCCACACGCCGAACAGCCCGGGCTCCGTGGCCTTGAGCAGCTCGAACGACAGCCAGGCGTTCTGGCCCGCGTCGCCGTCCACCGCCACCACCTTGGTCACCAGGTAGCCCGCGTCGGCCGCGCGCGGCACCAGCTCGGGGCAGGCGGCCGAGCCGTTGGCCGGCGGGTACAGCACGGCCGGCGCGTGGTCGTTGGCGTCCAGCAGCTGCACGCGCACGCGCGCCTCGCTGCTCAGCGCCGGGGAGCCGCGGTCGGCGGCGCGCACGCCGAACTCGAAGGCGCGCAGGGCCTCGTAGTCGAGCGCGCGCAGCGCGTACAGCTGCCCGCTGTCCGCGTGCACCGACACGAGCGCCGCCACGTCGGGCTGCTGTGGCGGCGGCAGCAGCGAGTAGGTCACCTGCGCGTTGGCGCCCGCGTCCCTGTCGCTGGCGCTCACGGAGCCGATGAGCAGCCCGGGGCTGTTGTTCTCGCGCACCAGCAGGGTGTAGGCGGCCTGGCTGAAGGCCGGGGCGTTGTCGTTCACGTCGGACACCTGCACCGCCACGTGGTGCCGGGTGGTCAGCCTGGGCGTGCCCAGGTCGGACACGGTGATGGTGATGTTGTACTCGGCCCTGGCCTCCCTGTCTAGGGCTGCATCCGTCTCCAAGGTGTAGTAATTCGCAAATGAAGACTTTAACACGAATGGCAGGTCCTCTGGGATGGAACTAACCATCTTCCCATTGTCCCCAGCGTCTCTGTCTCGGATACTAAAGACCATAACCACAGTCTCAGGCGCATTTTCTGGAATTGGGCCGCTAATTGAGGACACGGTGATCTCAGGAGCGTTGTCATTCACATCCATTACCTGAATTCTGACTGTGGATTTCCCAAAGAGTCCACCCCCATCTGTGGCTTGAATGATGATTGAGTATGATTGAGTTGTTTCATAATCTAATGGTCCTGTTAGAGTAACTTCTCCAGATTTTCGATTAATGGCAAACGTCTTGCGAATATCTTCTGAGGCATGGGAGAAGGTATAGGATATTTCTCCGTTTGTTCCCGAGTCGGAATCCCAAGCCGAGGCAGTGACAACCGGGGAGCCAAGGACGCTGTTCTCCGGAATCTTCACCTCGTAGAATGGCTGCTCAAACTCGGGGGAGTTGTCGTTAGTATCCACGACCACCACGCGAACGAGGGCAGTCCCGGACCTGGGCGGAGACCCGCCATCCAGAGCCGTGAGGGTGAAGCTGAGCTCGGGCTGCTCTTCGTAATCCAGCGCCTTGTCCAGGACTAACTCTGGGTATTTCCCACTGTCTGGATAGACTCTCATTTTAAGGTGGAAATGAGAGTTGGGGCTTATCGTGTAGCTGTTCACAGCGTTGATTCCAACATCTAAATCCTGTGCCCTCTCTAGTAAGAACACGGCACCAACAGGGCTAGTTTCTGGGATTTCCAGGAGCATTTCTTTTTCTAAGAAGACGGGAGAGTGGTCATTTATATCCATGACCTGAAGCTCAATCCGTAAAAACTGCAAAGGATTTTTCATTATCACCTGGAAGTGCAGCACACAGGGCTCCGTGGAGCCGCAGAGCTCCTCCCGGTCGAGAGTTTCGCGGAGGATCAAATCCCCGGTGTCTGTGTCCAGCCGCAAAGGCTGCTTGTTATCGTTAGAGACCACCCGAGCTTCCCGGAAGGAGAGCTCACCCACCTCCAGGCCCAGGTCCTTTGCCAAATTGCCCACACAACTCCCACTGTGCACTTCCTCGGCCACCGAAAAGCGCCCAGGCTCAGAGGCAGCTTGAGCCATTCCCAGCACAACAAAGAGAAGCACGACTTGCCTGGTCCGCTGAGCGCCTGCCCCTCGGTCCTCCATGGCTCCCGTCACGAACGCTCTCTGCTGAATGGCTTCAGCGGACCTCTAATTTGTCCACCAAATCCTCAGACGCCTGAGCACTTGAGCCTTACTGAATGGCTTCCAGGTCGCCCCTGGATGGCTGGCTCGTCAGTCTTTTTGTGTGCCTTAGGCGCATCCACAGCGTCATCCGGCGCAGTTTTTTCCCCTGATCTTATCCTGCAGCGCCACCATGCGACGCCACAGATTTTCACAGTTTGATGAAAGCTACCTGAATTCTATTCACATAAATGTTCTCCGGAAACAAATGCTGTTACTTTGTTTGATACATTCTACCTTTCATAATAACTATACTATATTCTTTATGTTTTGTGATAAACTTAGTATTTATTTTAAAACATTTATGAAGTATTCCTCCCCGCTCTTCACACAACCAAATGTGCTTAGTTAAGAAAACAGAAATACAAGTTGTGCCTAGTGTCTCCAGCAGTTTGTAATCTCTCTGAGAAGACTAAACTAGGAACTGTTTGTCAAGCTGAGTGAAATCCCGTCTCGGCTCCACCTCCCTGACTCACATGGGAAGGAAAGAGTACACCTGCCTCACTGCGGAAGTTCTTTCAGAGAGGGTGAAACTGGGTGAACCATGAGATGGCACACACCAGAGAACTGCTATATCACGAGAAAGCATCTCTAGAGAGTTCCTTAATCGCAATGAATCATGTGCATTGGTAGAAAATGAAGTGAAATGTTGTGGCGGAACACACTACATAAATCCATACTGTCGTTCCAGCTTCTCATAAAGAAACGCTAGTTCATTTAATGGTGTCTGGGGCCACCTTCTAAGCTTGAAGTGGTTTCAGTCCTAGCCGAAGTGCCTGATTACTACATACGGAGAGAAGATGTTTGGAACAGATGCTAAGGAGCTCATCAGTGATGGCCAGATATAAAATATTGAAAATGTAAAAGTTTTAGGTTCATATTACAGTTCAAAAAATATAAACTAGATACATGATTGAAAAATCAATCAGTACAAATAGGTAGAAATTGGAAATTACATGAACTGACTAGACAGTCATTTCGCCTCCTTTTAAAACACCCACTAAAATGACAAGGAATAAGGCAAACTAACAAAGACTAAGAATGCACAAGTAAACACATTTTTTTCATGACAGAAAGCAAATCAATGTAGCAGTTCCAAGAAATGTTTAATGTTCCTGCACTGGAGAAACAAGTGGGTTTGTCTCAAGTAATCCCATATAGGTATATATTTGGAGGGACCAGATAATAAGAAGACTGAAGTTAGTTAAGGACTGACAAAAAGCTATTTTTTAAAAAGTAGGTATATGGCAGAATTTAATTCTCTATTACTCTCACCATCATACCAAAATAGGAAGGTAATTCTAAGATAGGCAATAGAAAACTGATTCTCTCAAGAAATTAAACAGAACTTTCCCTAGTCTCGGAGACCCTGGTAAGATGGAGTGCAAATGTGAGGTGTGAAACTAAAAATAAGGAAGGTAAATTAAGCAAAATCTTTTCATGCAGTCTTTTGCCATGCAATACTGTCATTATTGGATGCAAGGTGTTCATCTGAGCCTTCCTGACCCCCAAACGGTGCGTATCATAGAATCCTACCCTAGAGAAGATGAAAGGACCTAATAAAGATGTACATATACAGATATTTCAGGGTCTTCCAAAGTAAGAGCCCCATGCAGCAGAGTTACAATAGAGTGAATCCCTGCCACCGTCACACCCCATTCACTCAGAGAGTAAAATGTCAGCACTGTGACATATCATTTTTTTTTTTTTACAGGCAGAGTGGACAGTGAGAGAGAGAGACAGAAAGAAAGGTCTTCCTTTGCCGTTAGTTCACCCTCCAATGGCCGCACTGTGCCGATCCAAAAGCAGGAGCCAAGCACTTATCCTGGTCTCCCATGGGGTGCAGAGCCCAAGAACTTGGGCCATCCTCCACTGCACTCCCAGGCTACAGCAGAGAGCTGGCCTGGAAGAGGGGCAACCAGGACAGAATCCGGCGCCCTGACTGGGACTAGAACCCGGTGTGCCGGCGCCGCTAGGCGGAGGATTAGCCTAGTGAGCCATGGCACCGGCTGTCATATCATACTTCTTAAAAAGCAGAAGACAAGCAAGGATGACAAGACATTGGGGAAATGCAGATGCCACGAAACAAACGCCAAAACCACCAATACCACCATAGGGAAAAAGGAAGAAGAGAAACCAGATATAATATAGAGAGTAGAAGAAAGCCTTTCAATATGTGTGATTAATATCTTCAGATAAATAAAATTTAATTGAGAAATTAACTCTATTAATAATTATTTAGTACTCACTCTGTGCCACCCATTATTCTAAGTGCTTTATATGCATTTACCCATTTAATTTTTTAAAGTTTATTTATTTATTTGAAAGGCAGAGTTACACACAGAGAGAAAGAGAGGCAGAGAGAGAGGTCTTCCATCCACTGGTTTACTCCTCAGATGGCTGCAACAGCAGGAGCTGTGCCAATCCAAAGCCAGGAGCCAGGAGCTTCTTCCAGGTCTCCCATGCAGGTGCAGGGACCCAAGGACTTGGGCCATCTTCCACTGCTGTCCCAGGCCACAGCAGAGAGCTGTTTTGGAAGTGAAGCAGCCAGGACTTGAACTGGTGCCCATATGGGATGCCAGCACTGCACGTGGCAGCTTTACCCACTTAAACCACAGAGCTGGCCCTTATCCATCTAATTTTAATAGTAAGTACATGAATATGTGTTCTCATTGTTAAAATTAAGAATAGATTAAGACGTAATGCCCCAAGGAGCCAGCACTGTTGGCATAGTGGGTAAAGCCTCTGCCTGCAGTGCCAGTATCCAAAATGAGTGCTGGTTTGAGACCTGGCTGCTCCACTTCAGATCCAGCTCCCTCCTAATGCACCTGGGAAAGCAGTGGAAGATGGCCTAGCTGCTTAGACCCCTGCCATGAACAAGAGGGACTTGGAAGAAGCTCCTGGATTTGCATGGGCCCAGCTCCAGCTGTTTTGGCCATGTGGGGAATGAACCAGTGGATTGAAAATTTGTCTGCCCTCTCCCCTTCTCTGTAACTCTTTCAAATATAAATAAATCAAAAAAAAAAAAAAACTTAAGTGCCCCTTACTAGCAACATAACTTTGGACAAATTCTTAACTTCCCTTGACTCATTCTCATTTTAAAAATGAATATAACAGCCGGCACCATGGCTCACTAGGCTAATCCTCCGCCTTGCAGCGCCGGCACACCAGGTTCTAGTCCTGGTTGGGGCGCTGGATTCTGTTCCGGTTGCCCCTCTTCCAGGCCAGCTCTCTGCTATGGCCAGGGAAGTGCAGAGGAGGATGGCCCAAGTACTTGGGCCTGCACCCCATGGGAGACCAGGATAAGTACCTGGCTCCTGCCATCGGATCAGCATGGTGCGCCGGCCGCAGCGCACTGGCCGCGGCGGTCATTGGAGGGTGAACCAATGGCAAAGGAAGACCTTTCTTTCTGTCTCTCTCTCTCACTGTCCACTCTGCCTGTCAAAAAAAAAAAAAGACATAAAAAATGAATATAACAACACTATGTGATGCATTTTTGCATAATAAAGTTAAAAGAATAAATTATAGTGTGAGCTGATATCACATTTATAAATCTGTAACAGGATACTATAAAAACCAGAATCCAAAAGAGTCCTTACAAAAGAAAAGCTCAAGGCCGGCGCCACGGCTCACTAGGCTAATCCTCCACCTAGCGGCGCTGGCACACCGGGTTCTAGTCCCGGTCGGGGCGCCGGATTCTGTCCTGGTTGCCTCTCTTCCAGGCCAGCTCTCTGCTGTGGCCAGGGAAGTGCAATGGAGGATGGCCCAAGTACTTGGGCCCTGCACCCCATGGGAGACCAGGATAAGCGCCTGGCTCCTGGCATCAGATCAGGGCGGTGCACCGACCGCAGTGCGCCAGCCCTGGCGGCCATTGGAGGGTGAACCAACAGCAAAGCAAGACCTTTCTCTCTGTCTCTCTCTCACTGTCCACTCTGCCTGTCAAAAAAAAAAAAAAACTCAAAAAAAGACTGAATGATCTAATACACTGTCCAAACAAGTAGGGTAAATGTTGAAAGAAATGGAAGTCTTACACAATCAATCCTAGAGGTCCAACATTTAAGTGTGATTCTGATTAAAGTAAGACCATAGAAAAGTCAAGGCAGAAGTTAGGAACAAGACTAGAACATTTTTCAGAACAGAGAGTGACACTCTAAACATGTCATGCATCCAGGTGACCATAACAGTGAATAAATGGGCAGCCAGTACTAAAGGTTTTCAATGTTGCCAGAATGAAAAAAAAAAAAAACACACGAAAAGAAATTGGAGTCCCTCCTCTTAATAAACTCCACATGAGTCAGGAAAAGGAATCATGCTTTAGAACTCTTCTAAAAAGTTTCAGTATAGAATTTTATGCACAAAGTATCATTCAAATGAAAAAGAAAGATAACTTCATAATCCCAGGTCTCAATTTTTTTTACCTTCTCTGCATCCATTTTTATGAAGTTAATGAGAGATGTATGTTAGCTGAATAAGGAAGAACATAGTGCATCTTGTAAAAGAGGATCAAAACGGGAACTTTTCAAAAGAAAAAAGTTCCATGATGACAGCCTATTTAGCAACCAGCATAAATGAAGCAGATATTTGGGTGAAAAATCTCCAGGAGATAAACATGATTAAGCAATATCTGATATATTTGAGTATTTTGAGGAGAAAGATTGATATTCAAGAAAGGGAATGTGAAAAACCAATAGCAATAAATAGAAAACTTAGTAAGTGCAAAAAAATTTACCAACTCCAATAAAGAAGCTTTTCAAGAAAGGAATTATAGCCGGTGCTACGGCTCACTAGGCTAATCCTCTGCCTTGCAGCGCCGGCACACCGGCACACCGGGTTCTAGTCCTGGTCGGGGCACCGGATTCTTTCCCGGTTGTCCCTCTTCCTGGCCAGCTCTCTGCTGTGGCCAGGGAGTGCAGTGGAGGATGGCCCACGTGCTTGGGCCTTGCACCCCATGGGAGACCAGGAGAAGTACCTGGCTCCTGCCATTGGATCAGCGCGGTGCGCCAGCCACGGCAGCCATTGGAGGGTGAACCAATGGCAAAAGGAAGACCTTTCTGTCTGTCTCTCTCTCACTGTCCACTCTGCCTGTCATAAAAATGAAAAAGAAAAAGAAAGGAATTATAATCATACGAATGTATATTTGATGAAATTTAAGAAATACAGACATTAACTAATAATTTAACTTTCAAAAATTGACAATTCCAAAGGATGAATAGGAAGTGGGAATTGTAGTGTGTGTAGTATATTTGTTAGTTGGAAAATGAGTTACTTTTCTTGTCCTAGCAAGAACCAATTAAAATATAAAACTGATCACCAAGATATAATAATAAACATATTATTTACAGATATTGATATTAATTCTAGAAATGCCCACTCTGTAGAAGGACACTAGAGACACTTGAAACTATTCATTTTCTTTATAAGCTTTAGCTAATCTTCATTTTAACATTTAACAATTAAATTTAAAAACAAATTGTAAAGTGAATATCTTTCCAACAGGCCAACAATAGTCTCACACACAAATTTTTAAATTGTTTTAAAAATGTGTAGTGTCATGCAGGTTACTACACTGTATTTCCATTATAAATTTTAATATATTTCCTACACCAGCAAGAAAATATGAGCCAAGAAACAGTAATGTATTTAAAGGAAATAAAATAATAGCAATTTTACAAAGATTATTGAAGTCCAACACAGAATTTTCAAATGGCCTGCTTCATTTGCCATGGGCACGGTAATAGAGTAATATTTCATTCATTTTACATGCTATGATTTAGAACTTCTGACATGCTTTAAAAACATGAATAAAGAGAAAGAATAAAGTTGGAAGCACAGATATATTTTCTTACATAAAAGCAGTACAACAGACAGGGTGTTAGGATCAGGAGATGCAGGCTCTGAACCTCACTAGGAGAAAAGCAAAAAACCCGGCTTTCTAGAAGGAGAAATAATAGTAAACAAGCCCTGGCACGCTGGAAGGGGGTCAGCCTTTAAAGCTACAATTTATAAAATGTATTCTAAATCAATTAAGACAATGCAAAATTATGAAAAACCATTGTAAAATGTAGACCAGAGTTATTGTGAATACTTAAAATTAGTGGGATGCCATAAGACTTTAACTGAATGTAAAAAAATTAAATATTAGTACTTAACATTTCAAAAGAACAAGAAAACGAAGAAAATTTCACTTAAAATTACATGCAAAATTGTTTTAAAAGGTGGGATGTTCTTCACTATTCTTCCCAAGGCCCTGTTCCTTAGGCAAGATAGGCTGCAGAAACTTGAACTCCCCGGTCCCAGCGTCGCCCGTCAGGCGCACCTCGTACTGGTAGCTGTGCGACAGCGTCCCGCCGCCGCTCACGTCCAGCAGCGGCCCCGGGAAGCGGCCCTCCGCACCCGCGCCGCCGCCGCCGCCGCCAACCGCACACCCCGCCCCCACACCGCCCCCGCCCCCGCCCGCGCCCGCGCCCGCGCCGCACAGCCGCGCCGCCACCAGCGCCAGCACACTCAGCACCAAGAGCGACGACACCGCCGCCAGCGCCACCACCAGCTGCACCGTGAGCGAGTCGGGCCGCGCCGCCTCGGCCGCCGCCGCCGCCTCGGGCAGCGCCAGGTAGGGCTGCGAGAAGCCGTCCACCAGCAGCACGTGCAGCGTGACGCTGGCCGACAGCGGCGGCTCGCCGTGGTCGCGCACCAGCACCAGCAGCCGCTGCCTGGGCGCGTCGCGCTCGCTCAGCGGCCGCGCCGTGCGCACCTCGCCGCTGTGCGCCCACACGCCGAACAGCCCGGGCTCCGTGGCCTTGAGCAGCTCGAACGACAGCCAGGCGTTCTGGCCCGCGTCGCCGTCCACCGCCACCACCTTGGTCACCAGGTAGCCCGCGTCGGCCGCGCGCGGCACCAGCTCGGGGCAGGCGGCCGAGCCGTTGGCCGGCGGGTACAGCACGGCCGGCGCGTGGTCGTTGGCGTCCAGCAGCTGCACGCGCACGCGCGCCTCGCTGCTCAGCGCCGGGGAGCCGCGGTCGGCGGCGCGCACGCCGAACTCGAAGGCGCGCAGGGCCTCGTAGTCGAGCGCGCGCAGCGCGTACAGCTGCCCGCTGTCCGCGTGCACCGACACGAGCGCCGCCACGTCGGGCTGCTGTGGCAGCGGCAGCAGCGAGTAGGTCACCTGCGCGTTGGCGCCCGCGTCCCTGTCGCTGGCGCTCACGGAGCCGATGAGCAGCCCGGGGCTGTTGTTCTCGCGCACCAGCAGGGTGTAGGCGGCCTGGCTGAAGGCCGGGGCGTTGTCGTTCACGTCAGACACCTGCACTGCGACGTGGTGCCGGGTGGTCAGCCTGGGCGTGCCCAGGTCGGACACGGTGATGGTGATGTTGTACTCGTCTCGACTTTCTCTGTCCAGCGGTCCTTCTGTCATTAGAATGTAAAAGTTGTCTACAGTGGGTTTCAGAACGAAAGGTAGGTTTTCCTGAATATAACATACCATCTTCCCGTTTTCTCCAGAGTCCCTGTCTTTAATTTTAAAAACAGCCAGCACTGTCTCAGGAGAGTTCTCAGCAATGTGGTTGGAAAGTGACGATATACTCAGCTCAGGGGCGTTGTCATTGGTGTCTGACACCTCCACCAAAACCGTGCACCTTGCTGAAAGCCCTCCACCATCCATTGCCTGTACATTTATTCTGTAAGACTTGACTATCTCATAATCAAGCAATGCTCCAAGAATGATTTCCCCAGAAAAAGGATTGATTTGAAAGGTTGTTCGAATATCTTCGGAAACATCAAAGAATGAATAGGAAACCTCTCCATTAACTCCTGAGTCTGCATCTCCTGCAGATACTTTAGTAATCAGTGACCCTATCGGGCTGTCTTCTGGAGCTTGGGTCTCATAGAGCTCGTAGGGAAACCGTGGGGGGTTGTCGTTGACATCCAGGACCACTATTCGTATGGAGGTGGTTCCAGACCTGGGTGGAGACCCACCATCCAGAGCTGTGAGTGTTAAACTGAGCTCCTGCTGCTCCTCCCAGTCCAGCGCTTTGTCCAACACTAGCTCTGGATATATCATGCCTTCTTCACTGTCGCTAATTTTAATATGGAAAAAAGAGTTGGAGTTTATCGTATAGTTTTGGATGCCATTACGTCCTCCGTCTGAATCCTGTCCTCTTTCTAGTCGAAACGCTGTCCCTTCAACTGTATTCTCTAGTACTTTTAAGACCATTTCTTTGTCTCGAAACACTGGTGAATGATCGTTTATGTCCTTGACTTTCAGTTCAGCCCGGTAAATCTGAAAGGGGTCATCCATTAAGATTTGGAAATACAGCACACAGGGCTCCGTGGGGCCGCACAGTTCCTCCCGGTCCAGCTTCTCATTTGTGATCAAGTCCCCAGTGCGCGAATCCAGGAGCAAGTGTTGTTTGCTATCATCCGAAATCACCCTGGTTCTCCTTTCAGCCACATCCCCCTCCCGTAGTCCCAGATCCTTTGCCAGATTGATCACAAACGATCCTCTTTCTGTTTCCTCTGTCACTGAATAACGCCGGACCCCAGAACCTGCCAAGGCTCCTTCCCAAAACAGAAAGAAAAATAGGACTTGCCTTTGTCTCCGGAAGTGCAACTCTCTGGCCTCCATAACTGCTTCTTTTGTCGATGTTGGTCACAATCACAGCACTCAGCAGAAACAGCAGTCTCGAGCCCCAGACCTATGCCGTGTAGTGGCAAGGATCCAGGATGTTTTCCCTCTTCCCCTACTCTAGGCTGCCGCAGCTTTTCTTCTCAGCCCGTCTGCCGTCATCTGCCTTTGTTGTCAGTGACTTCAGTAGCAACCTCAGATCAAGTTTTTCCTCAACTCTTTAGCCTGCAGCGCCACCGCGTGGCTTTCAGCAAACTCAAAAGGTTGCAACCAATTTTTGTGTTTGTGTATATATTTATAAGTTTTCATTTAGTGGCTTATTTAATTTTTTCATTTTCCTTTCCTTTCATTCATTTCGCAAGAAAAAGTGTTGAGATACACAACCATGGATGTTGTTGGGATTCTTCACTACTTCATGGGCAAAGTTTAACATTCAACAGTTGACAAAAACCAGGATTTTAGCAGTAGCTCTTCACCTCACTGTTCTAGATTGATCCATGTATTGGGCCTTTCACCTGTGACACAACTCCATGTGACCAAAGCGAAAAGTGGGAGCACCTTTTGTGACCACCAAAATAATACATTTTTACCTTTCCAGAAACACTGGGTGTGGGAATAACAAAGATTGGCCAAAGCAGTTTGTCTCACAACTTCAAATGTCAACAAACTCCTTTGAAAGACATTGCCTGAAGAGAATCATTACTTTGTAATCAGAACTAAATACGTAGGCTGTTCCTCTTCAGTGCCCCTCATAAACGCACATATGACTATGACTAGCCCGAAAATATTCTTTCTTGTTTTGTGCAGTCTGACTTTTTAATCTGTGAGTTTCTTGAGGACAGGAATGGTGTCTTTGCCATCTTTATTTGGCAAATCAGTCACTCACTAAATGCCTGTTGTATTAAGACATACATAAATGATAGCAAATAGACAAGGAACCATAGTCAGTGCTCCCCAGTCCCTAACGTTTGAAACTTGTATTCTTCATTTAGTCATACTTCGCAATTTCTGTTCACTTCCACTTGTCTTTTTTCCTTTTATTAGCTTCAAAATAATGTGCAGAATTAAAGAATGACCATTATTTTATGGTCTCTCTTAATTAAAATATAATAGTTTCTCTGCACTAAATAAAGGGAGGTAAAGAATAAACCAAACTTAACACCTATCCTAACATTATTGAAACTAAGAAGAACATGATAACATCTTGCTTCATGCATAATTTTATTCAAAAGCCTGGTATCCAGAAAGAAGCTCCATTTTCCCCATATACAGCAAGGTTTCAGATTAAACCTAATGATGTGGAATAGACAAAGGGCTAGACACTGCCCCAAACACTGCTGAATGTAAAAGTCACCCCACATAAACCTACTTGATGAGATTTGAAGGAATTGGGTTGTTAGCCATTAAAATATTAACAAGCACCTCAGCTTTTTTAAAGCTCTGGCTGTTGCAGCATTTGAAGAGTGAACTAGCAGATGGAAGAACTAACTCTTTCTCTCTCCCTCTCTCTGCTTCTGCCTCTGTTAACTCTGCCTTTCAAATTAATAAATTTTTCTTAAAAAAGAGATAAATTCAGGGAAGACAGAATTTCTAAAAATGAGTAACAGTTTGTGGAAAAGCAAACAAGAATGTCAGCCTAGAATGAAAATAAAAGAAATATTAAATAGTAAATATACATGGAACAGAATATTTTAATAATTGAAAAAGTCCTACAAAAGGGAAACTAACATTAGTTAATGATAGAGTGAATATATAATCAATAAATACATAAAGCAGAAGAAAGTCTTGGAAATAATATGAATTTTGAATATAATCACCATTTCAATCACTGATATTCTAGGAAAATGTCCATATGAGAAAATGAAAACTTGCACAGTTAGGCAAAATAGGAAACTGATGACGCATCTAACAAAATTAAGTAGCACCCAACTGGAAGTGATGGAATAAAAAGGCAGTGTCAGCCGACGCCTCGGCTCACTAGGCTAATCCTCCACCTAGCGGCACCAGCACACCGAGTTCTAGTCCTGGTTGGGAAGCCAGATTCTTTCCCGGTTGCCCCTCTTCCAGCCCAGCTCTCTGCTGTGGCCCGGGAAGGCAGTGGAGGATGGCCCAAGTGCTTGGGCCCTGCACCCCAAGGGAGACCAGAAGAAGCATGTGGCTCCTGCCTTTGGATCAGCGCGGTGCGCCGGCTGCAGCGTGCCAGCCGTGGTGGCCATTGGAGGGTGAACCAACGGCAAAAGGAAGACCTTTCCCTCTCTCTCTCTCACTGTCCACTCTGCCTGTCAAAAAAAAAAAAAAAAAAGCAGTGTCAAGAAGGAAATGTCTATTAAATGGGTTCCTATCAGTAATTAAACCCAAAACTACTCTGAAAGGTACAGTTTTCCTCTATTTCTTTCCCAGTGCCCTGGGAAGGAAGGTTGGGGCTAATGGGCTTCATGAACTTGAACTCCCCGGTCCCAGCGTCGCCCATCAGGCGCACCTCGTACTGGTAGCTGTGCGACAGCGTCCCGCCGCCGCTCACGTCCAGCAGCGGCCCCGGGAAGCGGCCCTCCGCACCCGCGCCGCCGCCGCCGCCGCCGCCGCCGCCAACCGCACACCCCGCCCCAACACCGACACCGCCCCCGCCCCCGCCCGCGCTCGCTCCGCACAGCCGCGCTGCCACCAGCGCCAGCACACTCAGCACCAACATCGACGACACCGCCGCCATCTCCACCACCAGCTGCACCGTGAGCGAGTCGGGCCGCGCCGCCTCGGCCGCCGCCGCCGCCTCGGGCAGCGCCAGGTAGGGCTGCGAGAAGCCGTCCACCAGCAGCACGTGCAGCGTGACGCTGGCCGACAGCGGCGGCTCGCCGTGGTCGCGCACCAGCACCAGCAGCCGCTGCCTGGGCGCGTCGCGCTCGCTCAGCGGCCGCGCCGTGCGCACCTCGCCGCTGTGCGCCCACACGCCGAACAGCCCGGGCTCCGTGGCCTTGAGCAGCTCGAACGACAGCCAGGCGTTCTGGCCCGCGTCGCCGTCCACCGCCACCACCTTGGTCACCAGGTAGCCCGCGTCGGCCGCGCGCGGCACCAGCTCGGGGCAGGCGGCCGAGCCGTTGGCCGGCGGGTACAGCACGGCCGGCGCGTGGTCGTTGGCGTCCAGCAGCTGCACGCGCACGCGCGCCTCGCTGCTCAGCGCCGGGGAGCCGCGGTCGGCGGCGCGCACGCCGAACTCGAAGGCGCGCAGGGCCTCGTAGTCCAGCGCGCGCAGCGCGTACAGCTGCCCGCTGTCCGCGTGCACCGACACGAGCGCCGCCACGTCGGGCTGCTGTGGCGGCGGCAGCAGCGAGTAGGTCACCTGAGCGTTGGCGCCCGCGTCCCTGTCGCTGGCGCTCACGGAGCCGATGAGCAGCCCGGGGCTGTTGTTCTCGCGCACCAGCAGGGTGTAGGCGGCCTGGCTGAAGGCCGGGGCGTTGTCGTTCACGTCAGACACCTGCACCGCGACGTGGTGCCGGGTGGTCAGCCTGGGCGTGCCCAGGTCGGACACGGTGATGGTGATGTTGTACTCGGCCCTGGTCTCCCTGTCCAGCGGGCTCTCAGTTACCAGGGTGTAGAAGTTCTTAACTGACGGTTTCAGAATGAATGGGAGGTCTTCCTGGATGGAGGAAATGGTCCTCCCGTTGTCCCCGGAATCAGGATCCGAGACGCTGAAAACAGCAACTACAGTCTCGGGCGCGTTCTCCGGGATGGGGCTGTTGAGTGCAGACATCGTCACCTCTGGCGGATTGTCGTTCACGTCCACCACCTGCAGGAGCAGAGTGCATTTTCCTGAAAGACCTCCCCCGTCCGTGGCCTTGATGTCCACTTCATAAGACTGGACTCTTTCAAAGTCTATTTGTTTTCTCAGTCGAACTGCTCCTGTCACAGGATTTACCTCCAAAGTGTCGCTGATACCTTCTGAAGGCTGAACGAGCGTGTACGATATTTTCCCATAGTCCCCACTGTCTAAATCAGTGGCGAATACCGTGACAGCCAAGGAGCCCTCGGGGCTGTCCTCCGGAACCTGCACCCTGTAGAGCGGTTGCGCAAACTCGGGGGCGTTATCATTCGTGTCCACAACTTCAATGAGCACCTCTGCGGAGCCAGAGCGGGGCGGAGAGCCGCCATCCAGCGCCGTCAGAGTTAATCTCAGTTCAGGCTCCTCCTCCCGGTCCAGCTCTTTATCCAACACCAGCTCAGGGTATTTCCTGCCATCGCTGCGTTCGCGGGTTAGAACGCAAAAATGGGAATTGGAGCTGATTTTATAGTTTTGAACGTTGTTGCTTCCTACGTCCAAATCCAGAGCATTATTCAGGGGGTACGCGCTTCCTAGAGGGCTGTTTTCTGGTATTTTTAGAATCATTTCTCTTTCGGAGAACACAGGGGCATGGTCGTTTATGTCTGCCACCCTCAGTTCAGCCTGAATTATCTCTAAGGGTTTTTCCATCAGCACTTGGAAATACAGTATGCAAGGCTCAAGGGGACCGCATAGGTCCTCTCGATCCAGTCTCTCATTAATGAGTAAATCCCCAGTTTGAACCCGGAGCTGCAAATGCTCTGTGTTTCCTTGGGAAATGATCCGGGCCCCACGGGAGGACAGCTCCTTCGGCCCCAGTCCTAGATCTTTTCCTAGATTTGCCACAAAGAAGCCTCTCTCCGTTTCTTCCACCACTGCGTAGGGCCCCAGATCCGCGCCCGCCCCAAGCATGCTCAGCAAAACAAAGAAAAGCACAGCTTGCCTTGATCTCCCATGGCGCATCCATCCAGTCTCCATTGCTGTTTCTCAAAAATTCTGTTCAGGAGTTTCCCATATGCTCAGGATTCTGACAGCGCTGCCTTGCAGTCCAGAACTCAGGAACCAAGCTCCGCCACTCGAGTTTTAACGAGGTTTCACACTGGCTTCTGCTCCGGCCGAGAAAGCTGTTCTGCTTTCAGGCGGTGCCTTAACTGGCTAGATACTGGAGCCGGGAGGTATTGCTGGTTTTTCCATCCTCTTAGCCTGCAGCGCCACCATGCGTTCTTACTGAGTCATGTTTTCTGGCTTTCATTGGATACAAAATTCCAAAGTACCGTAATATAAAAGTCTTATTTTCTTGTGGAGTGTGTGTGCACAGAGTTCTGTGGTGTTGCACGGGAGTACGAAGAGAAACCTATGCCTTATGTTACCTGCCATTGAATGCTGTCAAACTGTTGATGATTAAATAAAATAATTTAATTAACATTTATGCCAAGAACATACTCTGAAGAGGAAAATGTTTCCACAGTAGCATGGGAATAGCTTTCACAAGTGGGTCTTTTTTATAGTACCTGTTACAGAATTTATAAAATAGTGTACACTGGAAAATTGCAATCACAGGCTGTTCTAAAAAATTAATTTAACCAATGCTTTATTAAAGAATTGGTTACTTCCTCTTCCTTTCTACAGCTAAGTCTAATAAATCAGAACTTTTGCATCTTTCCAATTGTTGAAAATTATTTCCAAAATAAGCAGGTCTCAAGTTTGGGTATGCCATGCTTTTGGGTTTGTTTTCCTCTTTTTTAAAAATTTATTTTATTTATTTTAAAGACAGAGTTACAGATAGGGAGGGGGAAGACAGAGAGAGGTCTTTCAACCACTGGTTTACTCCCCAAATGGCCACAATGGCCAGAGCCTGTCCACAACAAACCAGGAACCAGGAGCTGCTTCTGGTCCCACACATGGGCACAGAGGCCCAAGTACTTGGGCCATATTCTGCTGCTTTACTAGGTGCATTAACAGGGGACTGGATTGGAGGTAGAGCAGCTGGGACTCCAACTGATGCCCACATGGGATGCCGGCACTACAGGTGGTGGCTTAACCTGCTATGCCACAGTGCCCGTTTTCCTATTTTTAATAATGGCAAGAAAAATTCATTCTACTCTTTTAGGGGAAAAATATTTATTGAGACAGTTCAAGTAACATATAGTTTCTCCATTTAAAATACAGAATTCCGTGGCTTTTCATGTATTTACAGAGGTATACATCCATCATCACATCCAAAAGAAACCCCATATCCTATGTGAACCCTGCTCTCTTACCAGTCCTACCCTGAACTACAAGAAAGCACTAACCTACATTCTGTTTCTGGAGAAATATCTGTTCTGGACTTCCATATGAATGCAATAATAGGACGTGGACTTTTGTGATTGACTTCTTGCACTTAGCATAATGCTCTTTCAAGGTTCATTCAAGTTGTGACATGTATCAGTACTCCATTCCTTTTTATGGCTGAATAACATTCTGTTGTGTAGATGTAAAACATTTTGATTATCCATCACTCCCTCTGTAGATACTGGGCTGTTTCTACCTTTTGGCTGTTATCAGTAATGCTTCCATGAATATTCATGTGCATACGTTTGTATGGATATCTTTTCATTGCACCAGCAGAACTGCTGGGCCAAGTGGTATCTTCAGGTTCAGTTGTTTGAGGAGCTGCCAGACTTTTCCAGAGTGGTCACAGCATTTTACATTCCCAGCAACAATGTACCAGAGTTCCAATTTTCCCACATCTTCCCAACACTCATTATTATCATTTTTGCTTCTAATCATCCTAACTGGTATGAAGACATAGCTCATGTGATTTCGATTTCTATTTCTCTGATAACTAATCATGTTGATCATGTGTTTGCTCATCATTCGTATATCTTCCTTACAGCAATGTCTGTTCAGGCCTTTGCCCATTTAAAATATTTCTTTATATTTATTTGAAAGGCAGAAAGAGATGGAGAGGTCTCACATTCACAGATTTATTCCCCAATACCCAAAACTGCCTGTGCTGGGTGAGACTAAAGCCAGGAGTTCAAAATTCAATGTTGGATCTACTGTGCGTGTCAGTGAGCAGTCACCTGCTGCCTCCCAGGTTGTGCCGCAAGAGGATGTTGAGGCAGAAGCGGGAGTGAATGCAAACCCACGGGATGTGGTCATCCCCAGTGACATCTTAACTGCTGAACCAAACACCTGTCCCTCCTGTCCATTTTAACTGCATTATCTGTCCTTTTATAACTGACTTCTAAGAGTCCTTCATGTACTCTACATGTAAGTACTTCATCATACTTGGATTCAAGTTTTTTTTTGATCTTTGTCTTTTTATTTATGCCTCGCACAGGCAGAGTGGACAGTGAGAGAGAGAGAGACACACAGAGAGAAAGGTCTTCCTTTTGCTGTTGGTTCACCCTCCAATGGCCGCCACGGCCCGCGCGCTGCGGCCGGCGCACCACGCTGATACGAGGGCACATTTTATCAATGCAGTGTTTCTGTTAAGAAGTTTTAGAAGTTTGTTAACTAGCTAGACTTAGGTTCAAGCATCAAATCAATGATGTCTAAACTTCTTTAAAAGCTTTATAGGTCCTTCTTTGACCACAGGTGGTACTGCTAGACTGGGTAATTTTCTAAGCACCAAACCTGTGATAGAATAATGACTACTAACATATGTAACAATATCTGTAAATATGTTACCTTTTGTGGGAAAAAAATTTGAAAATGTGACTAAAAGTAAAGACCTTGTGAAGAGCAGGTTATCCTGTATTATTTGGTGCTGTGGAACTGAACCTTTCCTGGCTATTGTTGGGAGAGATGACTACTGAACCAAGGTTAGAGAAACCAAACTGCTGGTTTTAGAGATGGATAAAGGGGCAATGGGTCAAGTAAAGTGGGTAATGTTTGCAAGTTGGAAGACAATGAACCAGATTCTTCTCTAGAGCCATCAGAATGGAATGCCTCCCTGCTGACACCTTGAGTGTAGCCCAGGGAGACTGCTAATCTACAGAAGTGTAAATACCTTTTTATTGTTTCAGGCAACTACATGATCCCTACACATTTTTTTCAGCATAATTTTTGAGATAAGTTGCCAAAGTCATATAGTCATATAGTTAAATTTTAATAGAAAACAACTGAAACCTATCAAATTTCCAGAATCTCTAAGTTGTCATAAAAATTCCCCCACAACATTGTACTTTTCTGAAATTAGTTACTTCATTTAAAACTAGTACTACAATAGCAACTGCTTTCAACCATAAGAAACATGAAAAGTAATCTGGTATGTTTAATTGAATAAAGGACTTCTGAAAATGTAATTGAGAAGAGAGGCCGGTGCTGGGGCATAGCAGGGTAGTCTCTCTTTCTCTCTCTCTCTCTCTCTCTCCCCCTCTTTCTCTCTCTTTCTGTCTCTCCTTGGCTCTGTAACTCTCCCTTTCAAGTAAATCAATTAATTTATAAAATTTCCCAAAGAGAAGGTGTGCGTGTGCGTGTGTGTCTGTGTGTGTAGAAAGAGCATAGGAAATTCAACAAATGCAGCCACAGGGTGGCTCTGGTCTGTACTCAGGGCACCCATTTTGGCAATAATGAATGTATTATGCTGAGAACATACAAGAATATAATATAATCAGACTGATTTCCTCATCATGAAGACTGGTTGCAGTGTTTGACCCACTGCTTTTATAAGAACTTTGGGCTTACTGGTCTACAGCAGTGTGGCCCTTGGTATAGAAACAAATGCGTCCTCCACCTTGCGGCGCCGGCACACCGGGTTCTAGTCCCGGTTGGGGCGCCGGATTCTGTCCCGGTTGCCCCTCTTCCAGGCCAGCTCTCTGCTATGGCCAGGGAGTGCAGTGGAGGATGGCCCAGGTGCTTGGGCCCTGCACCCCATGGGAGACCAGGAAAAGCACCTGGCTCCTGGCTCCTGCCAGGATCAGCGCGGTGCGCCGGCTGCAGCGGCGGCCATTGGAGGGTGAACCAGCGGCAAAAAGGAAGACCTTTCTCTCTCTGTCTCTCTCTCTCACTGTCCACTCTGCCTGTCAAAAAAAAAAAAAAAAAAAAAAAGAAACAAATGCGAACCTAGAGGCTAAAAGTTATAGAACAGGAGTAGGAATAGTAGATGGATTTCACTTCCTTAGTTATGGGAACAATGCTACCAGTTAATGATACAGCATACTGATCAATATCTGGAGCATTTGATTCAGTTACACTTATATTTAAAATGTTTCCTTTTATTATGCAGAATTTGACCAAGTTACTTAATATTTCTAAGCTTCAGTTTTCTCATATACAAAAAGGGGATAATAAACCAGTCTTCTCAGAGTTTTGCCTGCGATGCCAACATCCCACAGGGCACCAATTCAACTCTTGGCTGCTCTAGTTCTGATCCAGCTCCCTGTTAATGCACCTTGAAAGGCAGCAGAAGATGGCCCAAATACTTAGGCTCATGCACCCATCTGGGAGACCCCAATGAAACTCCTGGCTCCCGGCTATGGCCTGGCCCAGACCTGACTGTTGCAGCTTTTTGGAGCATGAACTAGCAGATGGAAAATCAATAGCTCTCTCCCTCTCTCTGTAACTCTGCCATTTCAATAAATAAGTAAATCTTTTAAACAAGAAATAAAAACTTTAAAAAGATTAGGTCAAACTGTACGCTTATGATCTAGGCATTTCACTATATTTATCATGTTAAGAAAATTTTTACTGTTGAATAATTATGATTAGATTCCACTGGAAGTAGCTAAAGTAAATAAGATGGCTTTAATAAAACAATTTCTTTCTGAAGTAAAAAACAAATTCAAAAGCGGGTCATCTAGGGATGACACTGACCCCAAGGCTACCAGGAACCCTCATCCTTAAGTTTATGTACAGAATGTCTTAGTTCATGGTTTCCATAATTAACGTACAACATAGCTGTCTGTACATTAGCCATAACACATGCATACCAGGCAGCAAGGAGCAGTTAAAGAAGGAAAAAGGGAGACCTCTTCCTGGATGCATCCTAACCATTTACGAAGTCTTCTTGGGAGTCCTTTACAGCACTTCCACATACATCTCATTGACTACAACCTGTCTTAAGTCCAATTTTAACCGCTAAGGAGGTGAGGAGAAATGGAATCTTTTGATTCAGTACATTAATGCCCCAAGTGAAATTTAGACTCAAGATGGAAAAAATAAATGGATATCGCCCCTGCAGTTTCTATCACCAAGGGTCAGTATCTCCCAAAGGCGAAAAGCCAGTTTCATTACCATTCTACTTCGTCTCACTAGATAAATATGGAGCAGCATTTTCCCACTTGGAACACCAAGGAAACTATCTGGAAAACGATTTGAAATTACATTGAAGCAACCACTGATAGTTAATGAAAGGAATCACAGCTTTGTAGCATTTTAACAGAAAACATCATCTGCATAAAGGGCAAAATAAAGCAAGAGCCAGAGATTCCAGTTGCACAAGTTTCCTCCCCTTCCTGGATAGAACTCAGTGGGATAGTGCATTAACTGCCCCGGCTTAACAACCACTAAGAAAACTTACAAGGACCTACAACTGACCTTAGATTCAGTTTTCCTTCTTAACCATTCTCTAAGGTAACCTACAACAAGAGTTTGCACAACTAGTGACCTCATCAGTGTTTGAAATGGAATCTTTAGAAGCATTCATCCTGACATTGTCATGAAAAAAAGATGAGATACAGGTTAAAGCGACTACACAACGAAAGAACCCCTGTAGGCAATTCTTTGCGAACTATCACAAAAAATTTATAATATGGAATATGAAAAACCATTAATTCAACTGCATGCTGAAATCAAAGTCATTCCTAAAGTTTGAGTTTGGTTCCATTGCTGATTCAGGAGAGTGGCCTTGGAAATTAGGTAAAATGGGCTTCATGAACTTGAACTCCCCGGCCCCAGCGTCGCCCGTCAGGCGCACCTCGTACTGGTAGCTGTGCGACAGCGTCCCGCCGCCGCTCACGTCCAGCAGCGGCCCCGGGAAGCGGCCCTCCGCACCCGCGCCGCCGCCGCCGCCGCCGCCAACCGCACACCCCGCCCCCACACCGACACCGCCCCCGCCCCCGCCCGCGCCCGCGCCGCACAGCCGCGCCGCCACCAGCGCCAGGACAGTCAGTCACCAAGAGTGACTACGCCGCCGCCAGCGGCACCAACAGCTGCACCGTTGAGGCGAAGTCCGTGCGGCGACCGCCTCGGCCGCAGCCGTCGCCTCGGGCAGCGCCAGGTAATGGCTGCGAGAAGATCTTCCATCAGCAGTACGTGCATTTTGACTGATAGCCGACAGGGGGCAGTTCGCCGTGATCGCGCACTAGTACGAGCAGCCGCTGCTTGGGAGCGTCAAGCTTATTCAGAGAGAGGACGATGCGCACCTTAGACCCTGAGCTCCTTAACTGTGAACAGGGCGAGGCTCCGTGTCCTTGAAGCCAATG